AAAAAAAAAAAAAAAAAAAAAAAAAAAAAAAAAACCGACTCATTTCTTATGGAAAAAAATCCCTGGTATGAGGGACCGCATACTAATACACACACACACACACACACACACATTATTCATTATTAATAATTAGGCTTTGAATAAAAAAGAGGGCAGCATCGGCAACAGTAGCTACGGCTCGAATTATATATATTCAATAAACTCATCAAGCACATATATCGGTATAAAGGGTTGCTTTCTTGGAGGGGGGTACTTTTGTTTGGTCCTTTTTTTTTTTTTTTTTTCTTAATGGCAATGGCATCTTCACCAACCAGTGGTCTTGTCAATAATAACAATACATCAGCAGCTACCATTAATAAACTCAAGACGACAGCTACGACGTCTAGCAGTAGCAGCAGTAGTCTTGAAAATGGTTCGATATCGTCTCATACGACACAATTTGACTCGGGGCCTTCCTTGGTGGACATTTTCTACTCAGCCAAAAAACTACTAAATTTACAAACAAGGCTAGAAAATCGTCAGTTGCGTAAAGTTAATAGCAAAACTCAGCTAAATCATATTGCCTATAGTGAGAATGTGCGTGGGGTTGATTTTGCAGCCTCGCCTAGTTCAAATAGAGAGCATCACCAAACTGACAGTGGAAGCTCTCAACATGTTTTGGACTTATTATCGCCCTTATCGATAGATGACTTGCACAATGCCACAATAAAACCATCCTCTTATCACCACTGCCAAAATAATACAGCCTCCGATGACGGAAAGAGTATAAATCAACCATCAAGTTCTCATAAAAATGCACAAAAGACATTGACACCAAAATCGGACTCAAGCATAGCTTCTGTGCATAGTTCAAACTCTTCCATCATCTCAACTAACTCGTCAATACCGTCTGAGACGGAGACAATAAAACCACAACCACAACCACAGTCACAGGCACAGGCACAGTCACAGTCACAGTCACAGTTACAGTCACAGTTACAGCCCCAAAAATCAAATCTAACCACTTCTTTATCAAAGCTAAAAAATGTACAATCACAATCCACAAGTGTACTACTGTCTCAACTTAATTCATTGTCTACTCAATCTGGAGGAGAGAACACTACTATATGCTTCAACTGCAAGACTCACAAGACCCCATTGTGGAGAAAGGATACCGAGGGTAATACACTATGTAACGCTTGTGGATTGTTTTTGAAATTACATGGAACAACCCGTCCCTTATCGCTAAAAACAGATGTTATTAGAAAGAGAAACTCAAGGAAAGCAACAACTTTGCCGAATGGTCAAACGAGCTCCATAGGCTCTGCTCCAACAGGAGCAACTTTTTCACGTTTCATAGGAGGAAGCACTAATATCTCGCAATATTCAACAAAGTCTGAGTACATGAGCCAAAAGAGGCAAACTCCAATAGCAATTGCTCCATCGCCAATACCGTCAGGGTCCTCTGTTCCTAATAATTTTATGAATGGCTCATTGTCAACCTCAAGTCAAAGAATCAAAAACGTTTTGATTCTACCCAAACCACAAAGCTCCTCAAATTTAAACAGTTCATTTAAAAGTAAGTCGATTGCTATTCCATCGTCTTCATCGTCTTCGTCTAATCAATATCATTCAAAGCTGGAAACATCTCCAGCTTCTGTCACATCCTCGCCAGCTTCTTCATACTCATACACTGTGAATAATAATCAACCATTTAAAAGAAAAAAGTCGGAGGTGAATATTCCAGCTGTCGTATCAGGTTCCAATACTGCTATTACTACTGCTGCTGCTACTACTACTACTACTACTACTACTACTACTACTACTACTCCATCCTCTTTCTCAGCCAGAAATAGAGAATCTTCGACGACATCATTGACTGGGCAACAGCAGCAGCAGCAGCAGCAGCAACAGTTTTCTCTTAAAAGGAATAACTCATTAATTTCAAGCACGTCATTAAGTAGAAGAACCTCACTAGTTAATATTCCAAGTGGTAGGAAGAGTATTTCTGCTTCAACGCCTACTAGTTCTGTTATTTCAAACAACAATATTTCCACTTGGAACCAAAGATTTCCTCAACCAAATTATTTTGATGTACCGCAGCAATATCAACCAGAGCAGCAAACGCAAACGCAAACGCAACTATCAACGGGTCTCCAAATGAGTATCCAGTATCAACCAAACCTCTCGAGAAACAATAGTAGTAACACATTATTGAATGGGAGCAATCAAACCTTTACTAATCATGATTATATGGATACTCCAGGTTCATTGAACTCGCCTGTTAGTAAAAGAAGTGTTAATCAAAGCGACGGAGTAACTCCAACTTCCATACCTGAGACTCCAATGAACGTTTTAGATTATTTGCCTTCCTCCATTCCATCATCTGGTAATAAGATGTTCAGCAAGTTATCATCGTCATTAACTAATCAGATGAGGCAACAGCAGCAACAGCAGCAACAGCAACAACAACAACAACAACCGCTTAACGCTGCGCACCTGATGAAGCTGAGAGTTTTAGAAGAATATCGATCACGTAAGCCAACATTCAACCATCATCAAGGTATTGATGATGAGTTGGTGATGATGATAAACGATCCATATTCGAGTATTTTGAATATGGATATTGGTGGAGGTGTTGGTGGTGTTGCTACTATTCCGGAACTTGAGCCTAGTGGTTTGGGGATGAGCGATGATGATTTCTTCAAGAATTTTACCAGTTTGCATAATGATGAAGAAGAGAGTGATATTTGTTTAGATTTGGTGGATTTCAATAATGCTTTTGATGGTAAGCAGCAGCGGCAGCAACAACAACAGCAACAGCAACAGCAGCAGCAGCAGCAACAGCAACAGCAACAGCAACAGCAGCAGCAGCAGCAACAACAAACACAGCGAGCGCCTCCACTTATTTCATCATTACATTTCACTAATGATGGTATTGGGTTTGATAAAATGGGTGATCACGGATCGAAAGGAACGACATCTGCTCCTACTACTGATTCAACTACTGCGACTGCGGAATTTAAGGATTTGGATTGGTTGAAGTTTGAAATATAATGCAACAAGAAAAAAGACATGCATATATATACTGAAGAATTGCTGACGAATTACTACCTTTGCACCACTATGTTTCTATAATAAAAGAAAAAGAGAAAATCTACTATAAAGTTTAGCATAAGAAAAGAAAGGAAGGTTCATCTCTATAAAGAAAAGAAGGTTCATCTCTATAAAGAATGAATGTCATCTTTTAATTTCTCTCTTGTAATCGATGGAGACACTATGAATGGGTGTAGGTCCCCCCTGCAAAGAATTAACCATGTTCTAGGGAGCGAAGCGAGATAGAGGAGCAGTACTGACTAGCTTGTTATAACATTATTGAGCAGAGCGAGATAGAGGAGCAGTACTGACTAGCTTGTTATAACATTATCGAGCAGAGTGAGCGGTACTGACTAGCTTGTTATAAAACTATCTCGCTCTGCTCGATAGTGTCATAGTGTTGGTGACAGCTCGTTTAATTTTCTTCCTGCCACGTTCCCACGCTTTTTTCTTTTCCCCATCGGAAAAATTTTTCAGATGTAATATACTCACAGGTGAATAAAAACTGATTTCTTGACCAATTCACCTCTTTTTCTTCTTCTTCTTCTTCTTCTTCTTCTTCTTCTTCTTCTTCTTTAGGAGTTCCCCCATATTTAAGAGAGATCCATTCTAATACCGACCATGTCCGCTAATAACTATAAAGTCGCAGATATTTCATTAGCTGCCTTTGGTAGAAAAGATATCGAGTTATCTGAAAATGAAATGCCAGGATTAATGTATATTAGAAAAAAATATGGTCCAGCACAACCTTTGAAAGGTGCTAGAATTGCCGGATGTTTGCACATGACAATTCAAACAGCAGTTTTAATTGAAACTTTGGTTGCTTTAGGTGCTGAGGTCACCTGGTCTTCTTGTAACATCTTTTCAACACAGGACCATGCTGCTGCTGCTATTGCTGCTGCTGGTGTTCCTGTATTTGCATGGAAGGGAGAAACCGAGGAAGAATACCAATGGTGTATTGAACAACAATTATTTGCTTTCAAAGACGGTAAGAAATTGAATTTGATTTTGGATGACGGTGGTGATTTGACTTCGTTGGTACATGAAAAATACCCAGAAATGTTGAAGGATTGTTTTGGTTTGTCTGAAGAAACCACAACTGGTGTTCACCATTTGTACAAGTCTTTGAGAGACGGTAAGTTGAAAGTGCCAGCTATCAATGTCAACGATTCAGTTACCAAATCTAAATTCGATAACTTGTATGGTTGTAGAGAATCATTGATCGACGGTATTAAGAGGGCCACCGATGTGATGATTGCCGGTAAGGTTGCCGTTGTTGCAGGTTTTGGTGACGTTGGTAAGGGTTGTGCAATGGCTTTGCAAGGTATGGGTGCCAGGGTTATTATTACCGAAATTGATCCAATCAATGCTTTGCAAGCTGCAGTTTCCGGTTACCAAGTTGCTCCTATGGACGAGGTTGCATCTATTGGTCAAATTTTTGTTACAACTACAGGTTGTAGAGATATCATTGTTGGCAAACATTTTGAGAAAATGCCAGAAGATGCTATCGTTTGTAACATTGGTCATTTCGACATTGAAATCGATGTTGCTTGGTTGAAGAGCAATGCTGAATCGGTTGTGAACATTAAACCACAAGTTGACAGATACTTGATGAAGAACGGTCGCCATATCATTTTATTAGCCGATGGTAGATTAGTCAACTTGGGTTGTGCCACAGGACACTCTTCATTTGTTATGTCATGTTCGTTCTCGAATCAAGTTTTGGCTCAAATTGCCTTGTTCAACGCCGATAACAAGGAATTTAGAGAAAAATTCCCTGAATTTGCCAAGACCGGTCCTTTTGACGTTGGTGTTCACTTGTTACCAAAGATTTTGGATGAAACCGTTGCCAGATGTCACTTGGATCACTTGAACGCTAGATTAACCAAATTAACCGATGTTCAAGCTGAATATTTGGGTATTCCACAAGAAGGTCCATTCAAGGCTGACATTTACAGATACTAGACAAAACATACACAACATACACACATATGACTAAAAAGGAGAGAAGCATTTTCAACACTCATGCTTTCCTTCTCCTTTTTATTTTCTTTTATGGTGGGAAGAAAGCCAAAATATTTTCAACAAAACTAAAGATTTTATAAAGAGATTGATTTTAAAGAGATTGATTTTAAAGAGATTGATTTTAAAGAGATTGATTTTAAAGAGATTGATTTTAAAGAGATTGATTTTAAAGAGATTGATTTTAAAGAGATTGATTTTTTACGACTTTAATGATGCATCAACTGTACATTTTTTACTTCATTTTATAGAATGTGGGTTCATATCGCCTTTTACATAACCTTCTTTTATTTTATTAATACAAGTTCCTTCAACGGATGATGAAGTTGTTAAACGTAGTAGATGATTAAAAAGGGCCTTAGGTTCTTTTTTTTTTTACCCATGCGAAAAAATTGTGGAGATAAAACAAAGTAATAAAATTAATAAAAGATCTCTGAATTTCAACTACTACTCTGCCTTTGAAACCTACGTTTTCTCAGTAAAACGGAGATGAGGGTAAGATCGAGAGTGTGTTGGTCGAGGTTTTGTAATGGGCTGCTTTTTTCAAACTATTTACCTAGAAGAGCGTTTGCTACAAGGATTAGCACAGACTCACCCTTTGCTCATCTACCGAAATATCGAAACTTGAAATGGATTAATTGGAAAACAACAAGTATATTCTTTCTTTTAGGGGCGGCTGTGTCGTATAATGAGACGCTATTCAATTACTATGAACAGTTTACGCATGTTGACGAGAACGACGAAAACAACAAGTTATTGCCGTTACAGCTTGAGTACAAATTAAAGAATTTGCCCATATATCAAAAGTTGGCCCATCCCAAGAATAATCATCAATGGTACAAATTGCTAAGTTGGGAAAATCTTGATCGAAACATCTTGGATAATCGAAACGGAGACAATGATACTCGGTTAAAAGTTACTAATCAGGATGAGTACCACAAACCAGAGTTAACTAATCACACTTTACAAAAACCAGGCGGGATCTTGATTAAACCAGTGACATTTCACAATATAGAAACGGACGAAGGAGTCACTATAGTCCATGTAGGCTATAGACTTTGTGGGTATCCTTTCATTGTTCATGGAGGGATAATAGCCACTTTACTAAATGAAACATTCAAGAGAAATGCATCGTTAAATCAAAAGACAAGTTCAAACTTGAAGGATGATTTTAAAGTGGAAAATTTGACTATAAACTATAAACTGCCTACTTTTGCTAACCAGTTTTTGATTGTAAAGACCAAGACTAAGGAGAGTGATAGGAATGATAAGAAAAACATCCTTCTTGAAAGCGTTATTGAAGATGCAAAGGGGAAAGTCTTGGTAAAGAGTACCGCGTTGTTGCGTAATACGGGAAGAGCAACAAATAGAAATAAACAGCAAAAGGTGGTGGTTAAGAGGTGGTGGTGGTGGTGAGAGAAAGTCGCAAATGCTATTGCATTTGTTCAGCTAGGTCTAGAGCAGCCCATTTCGTATGATTTCAGTAAGTTGTAGTTCCAATACTTGCAGTTCCAATACTTGTAGTTCCAATACTTGTAGTTCCAATGCTTGCAATTTCAATACTTGCAGCTCCAATAGTTGCAGTCCCAATAGTTGCAGTCTACTAAGTGCTACTCCTCTAGCTCGCTTTGCTCGCTGGTGTCGTTCAGTTGATGATCTTAGTCGCGCTTTTATTAAGAAAACATATTTCTATAGTTTTTTCTATTATTTTTCACTATTAGACCAAGCAAGTATGAATGAGGCACTTGCACCAGAGAATCGAGTGTATGAGGAACCAGATGGGATAAAAGCAGCTACAACCACCGCCACAGCTACCACCGCCACAGCTGCCACCAGCTCTGTGGTAAAAGAAAAGTCTCGCAATGTAATTGTTCATCCACGGTTAAAGCCGATGCCATTTAAAACTCAAGACTTGTCACCACCTCCAACTCTACAGCCATTTGAAGTATTGTCACTCAATGGCGTTACTTTCCATCAGATTGAGGATTTGCCTGTGAATAGACGTGGATTCAAGTACAAACTTTGTCGACCACTGCCTATTTTCAAATCTAACCATTATGCCACTACTGATCTCCCACCATTCGAAGCTTGTGTTAGTTTATTCGATAGATCTACAGGGATACTATTTAGCAAGGATTGTAAAACTGTAACGACTACGGAAGGCTGGAGGTCAATACGGGCCAATGTCTGTATTCGGCAAGGAATGTATTTTTTTGAATTTGAGATTGTCAAATCAGATGAAAAAAGTCATGTTAGAATCGGCCTAGCAAGGAAAGAAGCCAGTTTGGAAGCCCCCGTTGGCTACGATGGTTATGGATATGGGTTGCGAGATGTCGACGGAGAACTCATGTTTACGAGTCGACGGAAAAAGGTATATATAAATGGAGGATTCCGCACTGGAGATGTGATTGGTATTTTGGTGGAATTGCCTTCATTGGAAGAGCAAAAGAAGGGGTTGAATCGGTATGTCGACGAGAAAAAACTGGAAATGATGCCTGTTGACCATAAACTGAAAAAGAGGAAAACAAAAAGAAAATTGTGTAATACTGAAGATAACGTTAAATTTAATGAGCATGGAAACATCGTACGGGATCAAATACCAACAAAGTCGAAAGGTGCATTATACTATGATCAATTTGAGTATACCAAAACTAAAACCATGGATCATTTGCTAAACCCGGTCACGGTATTTGGTGAAAAGGCAGTTATTGAAATGGACGACAAGACTAAAAACATTCCAGTTATTGCTCAATCAAAAGTACGTTTTTTCAAAAATGGTGTTGAGCAAGCTAGCTGCATCGAAAATTTGTATTCCTTCCTACCTACAAACATAGAGGACAACGATGAAATGAATTTGGAAGCCAATGTAAAACAACAACAGAACCCAAATTATAGAAATACAGATGATAATACTCTAGGGTACTATCCAATGATGTCTGTTTTTAATAATGGCGCCGTGACACTCAATGCAGGTCCAAATTTTACATTTCCGCCGTCTCTGCCAATGATCAAACCATTGAGCGATAGGTTTGATGAGCAAGTGGTTGAGGAATGGTTTTGGGATGTACTTGACGAAGTTGAAGCGCAATATTTGGACAGTTTTGATGATACAAGTTGAAAATAAACAAAGTGTGTCCCTTTTTTTTTTTTTTATTTTTTTTTTTATAAGGTTGTTGGATCGGGTCCTACTCTGGACAATTGGTTTTCTTGTACTTTTTCTAATCCATTGTTCCGGCAATAAATATCATAGCATTTTCTATGGAATCCCTCTCCTTGAGCAGTGCAGAACCCCAAAGTAACCAACTCTTTGCATTGGGGGCATATTAACAACTTACCTTCTTCCAGATCGGAGCTACCATACGTCTCAATTAAGTACTGTTTCAATTCGCATAAACTCTTAATCGATAAAACCAATTTATCGTCCAAAGTTGCATCAAACCAGCCGTCGTCGATCAACTTATCTACAAAAGTGCTTGATTCCTTAAGCGACTTGTTGAGACACCCGGAAACTGTTTGTTGTGCCCTTATTCTCAGATTGGAAAACGCATAATCTGGAGATTCGACAATTTCTTCAATAATCATCTTGATAGTGACCAACTCGGGCACGGTGTAAGTTGTACTATTCTTGATAATCTCGTCACAAACAGTATTTGTAAACACAAAATACAAAGTACCGTTCAACTCGTCATTTTTGCGGTCAATCTTGAACCCTTGTTTGGTTATTTCTGCATTGATATCTCGAATATACTCTTCTAATATATCTCGATTGGGAATTATAGCTTTTTCCGATACTCCATTATCTAGCCTTTGACATATTAACCTAAACGCGTCGAGTAAACTTGGTAAGCTTATAGATTTTACAGATCTTAGGTACGTTAGTAGAACTCTATGGATCTCACTGAGCATACCTGTCAACCAACTAGTTTGTTAAGAAAAGGAGGGGGGGAGGGAGAGTGAGAAAAGAACAAACTCTAATTATATAGCCCAAAGGGTTATGAAATTTTTCATTATAGAAAAATTGAAATGCCCTTTTTCCGAACGCGCTTTTTCATTCATTCATTTATTTATTTTTTCTTTTGATCATTTGCACGCCCTTGATGAAGAAAAATCATTTCTGTGTAAGTGCAGCTTTTCCCTTTTTGCAGTAATTGTTGTTTGGTTGTTTGGTTTTGTTTTTTTTTTTTTTGATCTGTTGGTAATGGGTGCAAAATGTAAGAAATTCAGAGTATTAGAGATTTGAGCTCTAGAGGTTTGAAAGTTTTTGTTTTTGTTTTAGTTTTAATTTTTGGCAAGAACATTTTGTACAAATACCAAACCCGTGTGTTGAACTCTTGGATTTTCTATATCTCTTCTACTTTTTATAATTATTAATTGGAAAATGAGAGTAGGGTTAATTGGGTTTGTTTTAGGTTACCTCCTACGGAGTTCACTTGAATCAGAAACAGATGCAGACAGTTATTCTTCAGACACGGATGTTGATGTAGAAAAATGCAATCCAAATTTAGACGGTCATTGTTTAGTCAGTAATGAAGCATTGGGTACATCTGTATTTGAGTCATTAAGCGATGGTACTACTTATTTGGCCATCAAGAATTGTAGAAAGGGAGTTAAATTTGGCCGAGATGGAATGGAATTAACAATTCGAAAACAATTTGAGAATCCGGCATTGGCATCGAGTTTTTATATAATGTACGGAAAAGTTGAAGCGGAAATTAAAGGTTCTTATGGAAGCGGGATCATTAGCTCCTTCTATTTACAAGGTGACGACTTGGACGAAATTGATATTGCCGAGATTTTTGGTGGTGATCCTTTTGAATATCAAACAAATTTCTTTATCAAAGGTAATATCACAGACTATGAAAGAGGGGAATATCACAAATTACCAAAAAGTCCCTTGAGTGAATTTTACAAGTATGGTTGTGAGTGGACCCCTGAGAACATTATATGGTATTTGAATGATGAAAAAATCCGAGAAGTGAGTAAGTTGAACAAATATGGCATGCCCAACTCACCAATGAATATCAAATTTAGTTTATGGGCCGGTGAAGATACTCTTGATGAAGGGACAATTGCTTGGAGTGGCGGTAACACAAACTACGAAGACGGGCCTTTTACCATGCATGTAAAGAACTTGAACATTAAGGATTATTCTACGGGTGTTTCATATTCATATGGATGGTTACCAGATGGTACCTGGTGCGATTTGACTGCAAAAGATGGAGAAATATACAATAACATCGAAAGAAGCAAATCAATTCCTAATTTAAAGACAACAAAGGCGAGATCTCTTGATGAGGAGTGTGAGGAGGAAATAGATATAGAGGAAGATGTAAAAAAGAAGGAAAAGAAGGAAAAGAAGGAAAAGAAGGAAAAGAAGATAAAGAAGGAGAAGAAGAAGAAGAAGAAGAAGAAGGAAAAGCAGGAAAAGGTGGAGGTGGACGACGAAGATGATGAAGATGACGATGAAGATGACGATGACATAAATGTTGAAGACGATATTGAAGATAACGTCAAGGACGACGTTGGAGACGAGGGCGTTGACGTTGACGACGATGACGATTGCCAAACTTCAACCAAGACTAATTTAATCACTAAAATCGAAAAAACTATTACCAAAGCACCAACATCAAATTATCATTTACCCTCAAACAGCAAGCCTCCTGCTACCGCTGCTACCACTACTACTACAGCACCAATATCAACAGCACCAATATCAACAGCACCAATAACAACAGCACCAATAACAACATCACCAACAACAAAAACGATTCCAAGTCAAAGTTTGCTTGACAAGGTCGCCCTAGATCATACAACTACAATTGAAGCTAGCAAATTGCTCTCCAAGAAGCCAGAGAAGCAAACAAGTACAACAACTACTGCTCAACTGAGTGAATGTTCTTCAGAAACACTCGTTTCATCATTCAAAGACAAGAAAAATGAGGAAAAGGGGGTTAATATACCTGGGAATCGCGAGTTGATTCGCGAAACATATAGTTCAACATATTACTACCTGTCTACGGAACGTCATTTTGCTGTTACGACTACCCGTAAAGGTAGCAAACCTACTAAAAGCGAAACTAATCAAGAGAACAATGAGAATACGGATGATGATGATGAAAAATTTGTACAATTCCCAGATGAAGAAAAGCCTCGCAAAAAACAAAAATCGGGCGTTTCCAAATTGATATCGTTGTCGCTATTGACCATGCTATTCACAGAAACTGTGTTTATAATAACATCTTTGTAAGACTCAAGGTGACACTAGGGAGCGAAGCGAGCTAGTGGAGCAGTATGTAGTATCAACGGCCTCATCTCCAGTCAAAACTATCTCTACAGTGTCCCCCTCTACAGGGTCTCCTTCTACAGTGTCCCCCCTCTACAGTGCCTCCCTCTACAATGTCCTCCTCTACAGTGTCTCCCTCTACAGTGTCTCCTTCTACAGTGCCTCCCTCTACAATGTCCCCCTCTACAGTGTCTCCTTCTACAGTGCCTCCCTCTACAATGTCACCCTCTACAGTGTCTCCCTCTACAGTGTCTCCTTCTACCGGAGTTTTGCTGAGATCTGATGTGGTCGTGTATATGTGACCAAATATTTCTGGTTCAGCTGTTGTCCGAAGTATGATCATTTTAGTACAAGAATGTAAGTATATATATGAAGATATATGAAGATATATGAAGATATATATATATATCTAGGTAGGTAAGAAACACTGGGTTTTTCTTTCCAAAAAAAGGACAATTGATCTCTAATACTTTGTTATTTTTCTGCTATCAACAATGTCTATGGAAGATTTGGTTAGCAGGTTAAGTTATATCTCACTCATTACCAATGATCAAGACAAGTTTCTTCAGCTGTTCAAGTTTTATACCAATTTGGGCTTTAGGTTGGCAAAGAACTTTTCAAGAGTAAGTCCTGCGGGAGCCACGGCAGCCCACATTCCTCAATTGCAATTGGGAGTGTCTAAGGACTCCCTAAGAGAAGTATGGATTGAGTCGTTTCCTTTACAAGATTTAGATGAAAACGGAAATTTGCGTCCCTGGCAAGAGTCAAAGGTTTATTTTGGAGACAATTGTCAGAAATTGTCGGAATCAACTGTTATCAAGCTTAGATTGTCCAGCGAGACAGAGGCTCAAAGTAGTGTTGAAAAAAAACTTGAGTTCTTCACCACCAATTTGAAAGAAATTGAAAAAATACTTAAAGAAAATGATGTTAAATATCAACAAGTTAATGATAATCTTATCCATGCAAAAGATCCTCTTGGTAACGATGTGTGCTTTGCAAATAAGAAAACCCCATTGAGCCTGGTAGAATACTCATCAACACAAGAATATATCGATTCTACCACTAAAGAGATTTTACAAAATAAGAATTCAATGGATCTCAGGCGTCGATTCAAATCAGAGATAAGTATTGCTATTGACGAGATGGAGAAGAAAACGAAAACCGGAACTGGTAACAAAGCGGCAAAGAAAAAGAAGATCGCAGTGATGACGTCGGGCGGTGATGCCCCGGGTATGAATCCAGCCGTGAGAGCCGTTGTTAGAGCAGGTATCTTTTATGGATGTGATGTCTTTGCCGTTTATGAAGGGTACGAAGGTTTGGTCAAAGGTGGTGACTTGTTAAAACAAATGGACTGGGCTGACGTGCGTTCATATTTATTCTTGGGTGGAACTGCTATTGGTACAGCTAGGTGTAAGGAATTCAGAGAGCGTGAAGGAAGATTGCAGGCGGCATATAATATGGTTATCAATGGTATTGATGCTTTAGTCGTTTGTGGTGGTGACGGTTCATTAACTGGTGCTGATTTATTTAGAAGCGAATGGCCATCCTTAGTTGATGAATTGATCAAAAAAGGGAAGTTGACAAAAGACCAGGCTGCTCCTTATAAGCATCTCACTATTGTTGGGTTGGTTGGCTCTATTGATAACGATATGTCGGGAACAGATGTCACTATTGGTGCTTATTCTGCATTGGAAAGAATCACTGAGATGGTTGATTATATTGATGCAACTGCAGCTTCACATTCAAGGGCTTTTGTTGTGGAAGTTATGGGTAGACATTGTGGATGGTTAGCACTTTTGTCAGGAATAGCTACTGGTGCCGACTATGTATTCATACCTGAAAGACCGCCAAAAGCAGGGGAATGGAAAAAGGAATTAACCGAAGTATGTGCAAGACACAGATCTTATGGAAGAAGAAAAACAACAGTTATTATTGCTGAAGGTGCTATTGATGACGAATTGAACCCAATTAGTTCAGAGGATGTTAAAAAGGTGTTGGTTGATTTGGGACTAGACACAAGGGTGACCATTTTGGGACACGTGCAAAGAGGAGGTACAGCAGTTGCTTTTGATAGAAGATTAGCTACCATGCAAGGTGTTGAAGCGATTAAAGCTGTGTTGGAATTGACTCCAGACACTCCTTCTCCGATGATTGGAATTTTGAAGAACAAGATTGTTAGATATCCACTAGTCGATGCCGTCAAACAGACAAAAGCCGTTGCAGAAGCAATTGGACAAAAAGATTTTGAAAAAGCCATGAGTTTAAGAGATTCAAACTTTTTCGAGGCTTACAAATACTACCGTGCAATCACATATTATGACGATAGGTCGCAACAGTTACCTGAAAACAAAAGATTAAACATTGCTGTTGTTCATGTAGGTGCAGCATCTGCTGGATTGAATGCGGCTACTAGAGCCACGGTGTTGTACAGTATATCACGTGGTCATAACTTGTATGCGGCACAAGAAGGATTTTCCGGATTAGCTGAAGGAAAGTTGAAAAAACTTGAATGGTTAGATGTTGAAGGATGGCATAGTGAAGGTGGAAGTGAGATTGGAACAAATCGATCACTACCTTCTCAAAATTATGGTAAAATCGCATATTATTTACAAAAGTTTAATATTCAGGGATTAATTATTATAGGAGGGTTTGAAGCTTTTGAAGCATTGCATCAATTAAACGAGGAAAAAGTAAACTATCCAATATTTGAAATGCCGCTGGTGGTTGTTCCATCAACTGTTTCCAACAATGTTCCTGGATCGGAATATTCTCTTGGATCAGATACTTGTTTGAATGAATTGGTTTCATATTGTGATGCTGTGATACAATCTGCATCATCCAGTCGTAGAAGAGTTTTTGTTGTTGAAGTACAAGGAGGTCATTCTGGTTATGTAGCCTCTTATTGTGGTTTAATTACAGGAGCATTGGCTACGTACACTCCAGAGGCCAAAATCAATTTGATGGAATTACAAAGAGATATTGAATTGTTATTCAAAGTATTCCAAACTGATCGTGGTGAGGATCATAATGGTAAATTGGTTGTTCGTAATGAGCAGGCATCACTGGTTTATTCAACACAGTTGATTGCGGATATAATGAAGGAGAATGCCAATAATAGATTTGAAACACGGACGGCAATTCCCGGTCATGTGCAACAAGGATATACTCCAACTGGAAACGATCGTGTAATGGCAGTTAAATTTGCATTAAAAGGAATGGAGTTTATCGAAGAATGGAACCATTGTTCAGAGAAACATGATATCCATATCGAGGATGCCGATGTGGAAAAACATTCAGCTGTCGTGATTGGTATCATTGGTGATACTGTTGAGTTTACAAGTGTCAAACATTTATACGATAGAGAAGCCGATGTTGCCTTGAGAAAGGGTAGGACTATACACTGGAAAGATATGATTGAGGTTGAGGATATGTTGAGTGGTAAGACTTTACTTAAGATAGAACATGAGGATTCGTGATGTAGCTTTTAGGAACAATCCCCTTGTGGGTTGATATATATATATAAAGAAAAATTATACGATTTAAAGAGGAGAGGTGTGTATGTGTATTATTTGCTTTGTACGTGGCAAAGGGAAGTAGTTTTAGAGAAGTGGATTTGAGGTAACTTTTTTCACAAAGTATATGACGATGGTAGCGAAAAAAGAACGGAAAAATATTCATTTCTATATTTTGTATTTGGCTGCGAAAAAAAAAAAAAAGAGAAATAGAATAAAAAAGTAAATAAGCCATGAAAATTGGTTTGGTCCACTCATCAGATAAAAATTTCAACGTCTAGATATACTTATTTAGAGGTAGCTGTAGTTTCTCTTGACAAAGGTGTAGTCTATTAGACAACTTATTAAAGTATGTGGAAAAAAAAAAAACCTTCAAGGTGTTACTGCTGTTCTTGAAGTTTCGAAATATTATATAAGACGAGAGATACAATTACAGATACAAGGAAACAGTATGCTGCAACCTACCGCCCAAATTGTTGGTGCCTTCCCCTTCCCCTAAAGAAAAAAAAAGAAGTAAAATTTCACATCAAATGCAAAGTTATGAGAAGCAGCAACAGTAAAGCTTAAAAGGGGAAAAATGAATAAAGGCTTTTTCAAGAAGACAATAGGAACACATTTTATGAAGAATTGAAATAGTCTTTACATGCCACAATAGATTGACATAATAGGGTATATATATATATATATATGGCGGTGATGCTATCGGGGAAGCAGTGACATAATAATTGCTCCGCCCCCGCTCCTATGGACACACACATACATGAACATATGCGCCTTGCACAAATCTATACGTGATGATTTATTGGTTTCATCAAATAGTTTCCTTTTTCTTTCTTCACATCTCTTACTTTGTTAGATAGCTGAAACAACTGTTTCGTCATGTTTCACTTGTCTCCCCTGCCCTGCCCAGCCCCCTAACCTCTTACTTATTTCCACCTATAGCCGAACCCAATTTCATCTCACCTGATTCCTTATGATTTTTTTTTTATTTTTACCTGATAAAAACTATAAAACATAATTGTACAATAGCCCACAAAGAAGGGAAATAATATTACATACAAGAAAATGATTGGTACAATTTTTACTTAATTGAGAAACTTAGCTTTGTTACTTTGAAAAGAATGTTTAAATTTGATAATTCCGTTTTAGATGCACCAATTGGGGTAAATGTTGAGTGAAATATTTCATTTTTATTGTAACCAGTAAATTTTTATCCATAAGCATATAAAAGAACTCAAAAGCGAGAATGGAAAAAAAAAAAAAGAAAAAACACCGAGAAAAAGCACCCTGCAGCTGATCCTGATCCTGATCCTGATGCTTATGCTGATGCTGCTATTACTTCTACAGCTGTTACTTCTACTGCTATTACTTCTACAGCTGTTACTTCTACTGCTATTACTTTTAGTACAGAAAAGATCAGCATGGGTTCCACCCATTTTCATCTATATGCTCTTATTCATATTTTTTATTTATTTTTGTCTTCAAGTCTACCACAAAAAATGACATGAAATTCAGTTTGGGCGCTATTTATTAATGACGTAAGAGTATAGTAGTGGTTTCTGTTAATCCGCTTTTTATTAGATGAATTTTAGTGATGCAATGCCTCTACAAAAAAAGGGGTGGATGACTTTTGTATAGGCTTTGACTTGAAGTAAACGATTGTGAGTTTCATGATCACAATAGCTATTTAGCTCCAAAGAAAAAAAGAAAAAATATTAAAAAACACACCAAAAAATGCAGAGAAAGAGGGGAAGACAAGAATGATACATTATAGCAAGAAAACTATTTAGTAATACTTTTGGTTTAGTGTGATTATAGCTCTACTATTCTCTCATCTGAGGGCTGATGATGGCGGTGGTAGAACAGTTTTTTACATTGCATTTATAATATATTATGAATAGAGGCTTTCAAGTTATGCCCACTTTTGAATATCCCAATCATAAGCCAAGTAAGTCCCAACCAATTTTCCAACCCCGTATCCAATTGACAAGATCTATATTTCATGGAAAATTGTTGTGCTTTTCTTTTTTTTCTATTTTTCTTCCAACTGAAATCTAAAACGAATAAGTCCGTGATGACTTAAGCTTAAACTCCGATTGACAAGATCAGTTTTTCAAATTCTAGCCAAAGATGCAGAAGTGAGCAATAATGTATGATGTGGTAACCATAGAATAAATAAAGAAATAATTGTCATTTTCGGTTAAAAACATTGTTTGACTTATAACGAATTAACTGTAATTGCTAACTTCTTGTTACTCTTGTTGTTTCTTGGACTCATGTAGATAAGGTCAACAACAAAAAAACCCGGAGGACCGAGACTTATGCCGGCAAAAAAAAAGAAAAAAAATAGATTCATAAGAAAACGCGAGGGGAGTCAAAACAACGCGCAATGAGTCAAAGTAAAATTACTTGCAGATATACTGTCTTTTTCAACTGACTTGTACCGTTTAAAAGATACAAAATGGGGTCTTGGGTTTAGTTCAACGTTTTGTTATTGACAATGTTTTTTGTCAGATACGATTGTGAATATTGTATTGATGTTTATATTTAGAGCAAAATATGGAGACGGAATTTGACGACGGAATTGAGTGAAGTATTCTTTTTGTTACAGAAATCAAAAAAAATAAAAGAACAATGTACACAGTGTGCTAGAACCGTTTAACAATCAAGCATAGAAATGTCAAGGTGTAAAAAGTTGAGCATAATGATTTAAAAGTTGAGCATAATGATTCAAAAGTTGAGCATAATGATTTAAAAGTTGAGCATAATGGTTTAAAAGTTGATGCCCATCGATAGTGCTTAAGAGCTACAGATTTTTAGGGTTTAAATTTTGTAAAAGAAAAAAAAAAAAAAAAAAAAAAAGACATGGAAGGGTTCTATTAATCGAACAGTTAAGTTCTGGAAAAAAAGAACTGGGTTATTATATAAATCAATTGAGGATGTTGAGTATTAAAATTGTGCTGGGTCAATTTTTGGATGTTCATAGTCATTTTGAAATGAGTTTTCTGGAGGATCAGGGGAAGAAAAATAATAGAAGAAAGTTTGGGATAACATAGGTACAAATGTTAATACAATGTTGATACAATGTTATAAAAAGGTTGGAAGAGTCTAATTAATTTTTTTTTTTTTTCTTTCTTTAGTATTAGTTTTATTTCATCGGGATTGGCGTTCCCTAAAATTTCTTAAAACCTGAATTTTATTTCTTGACATTGTATTATATTAACACCGTGTAAATAGTATGTTTTTTTGGCACTTGTGTTACATTATGTATGATAGTTAAAAAAATGTAACAAAAAATAGAGAAGGTTTAAGTATAATGCAGGATTTAAAAATAGAGAAATAGAAAAATAGACGAATAGAATAGAAGAATTAGAGGAATAGAAAGGAATAGAAGGAATAAAAAGGAACAGGTCAAATTAAGAAATAGAAGAAATTAAAAAAAAAATGAAGGAACAGAGGGGGGAGGAGATGCGGCTCGTGTCCAAAGATAGAGGTGCAGGACTCGCGTATGAGTTTTGTAGAGGAAGTAAAGGATAAGAAAAAGAATTTAGGCATATCGAGAGTTTTTCATTGGTGGTGTTTGGGAAATGCTTTGAGATGACACCATTTACGTTACTTGTTTTGAAATGCGTGTGCATGAAAATGATGAATTTCAATTATATCACACAAACTTAATTAGGAAAAGTGATATAATAATGAATTTGGGAAACAAATACAAAGACTCATGGAAAAGGATGAGGATGTTTGGATCAAAGATGGGGAATACTGGGTACAACTGGTAAACTCGCTCTCCATGTAAATTTAATAAACTTTCTTTCTCAAAGAAACTTCTTTATCTAGGTTTATACGGCACTTGTTTTTTCCTCTTTCTTCCTTTGCAGCTTGGCCTTACATAATATCTGCAGCATATTTTCCTCAAAAACATTGATAACCAAACTCTAATTTTTAAAGTCGCGCAAAAAGTCCATATTACAAAAGAACAAAAGAACAAAAAGACCCAACCAGTTGTATACAAGGGTTAGACCATGATGCATATAATCTGGAGTTTAATGTTGAAACACTCGTAACCGTGTGTGTGTGTGTGTGTGTGATATCTTGGAAGGTGAAGTGAGGAGGAAAGAGGCAGTTGACTATTACTACTACCATCTCTAGTTGACTATTACTACTATCTCTAGTTGTACTATTACTACTATCTCTAGTGTGCTATTACTACTATCTCTAGTTGTGCTATTACTACTACTGTCGCTACTAAGTGTCCAACCAAAAGTTTCTCCACTATCTCGCTTCGCTCGATAGTGTTGTCGATAGTGTTGTCATTGCATTCCGTATTCGCCTTATACATAATTTACATATTGTCTTGACTTATCTTGGCTGCAAAATACTCATCTCAAGAAAACGGCATTTTTCAATACTAGGTAGAAACACAAATGATACAAAACAATAGAGCCCAAATTGCACTTTATTTTACCCAATTCCCAATTTCTACAACTCTATACTCTACTATTGTATAACTCTTCCATCAAGCTTCAAACCATTATCTCACATCGATTACCTTTAGTCTCCCGTCACCTGATAACGCCACACCTTTTACCTTTTTTGACTTTCACAAAACATACTACTGTAGAGTGGATTATCTTAAAGTGTCGGCTACTATGCTAGTCAGGGTAAGTCACGACGATGTACACCCACGCACCTGCGCACACTATACATATCGCAGTACGCACCCTATACTACGCACCTTGCCATATGTACATTAAAAATTATATAAGAAAGTACAAATGGATATTTTTAACTTAAATTTTTCATTTCTCCAAACCCAGAAAAGAAGAATTTTTTTAATCAAAGGGAAGAACGAGTTTATTTTTTTACTTATTCTTTACCAGAGAGAGAGAGAGAGAGAGCCAAAGAAAGAAAGAGGAAAAGGAAAACCCCTGGCTATCGAATAAACCCAGATATTATTCGGCAATCTTATATACCTTTTAATCCACCTTTTTTTTCTGCCCACTTCACTTCCTATTTTTCCATCTTCACTTTCCTATATTTGTTCTCATCTTTCTCGCTTGATCGTCTTGAGTCCTGACTTTCTCGTTTGAGTCCCGCTATTTCACCCAAACTAGTTTGACATCTTTGCAGTACCAGGCTTTTTTTTTCCCCCCTTGTCAATTCTCTATAGTGTACTCAATTGGATTTTGACAATTTTATTACTAGGACATACTATCAAATGCATAAAGGTATCCCCTCAAACCTATTAGATATAACTGCAAAATTATTACATTCATTCTTTCACAAATTAGCAAACTAATTTTAAACACGTCATCTACCCCCCAAGACCCAAAGACCCCAAGACCCAAGACCCAAAGACCCCAAGACCCAAAGACCCAAAGACCCCAAGACCCAAAGACTCAAAGACCCCAAGACCACACCCCCCATTTATTACCAGAGTAGAATCAAGAGAGCAGGACATTGAGATTATGACCAAAAAGAGTCAAGGAGCTACTCGAGTCAAAAAGAATGCTTTTGTCCATAAGCTATATACAATGTTGAGTGATCCAAGTCTTGATAATTTAATATGGTGGAATAACAACAATTCTGAGCAAAACACATTTTCATTATATCCTGGTAAAGATTTTGCAAATTGTTTAACTAGGTATTTCAAACATGGCAATGTGGCGAGCTTTGTACGGCAATTACACATGTACGGGTTCCACAAAGTTAGTGATCCCCATAGCAACAATCACGGTAGTAGCAGCAGCAGCAGCAGCAGCAGCAGCAACATTGTCCATGGCGCCGCGAATGGAAATAATTACAATCTTGTCGCTGTGGACCTTTACCGTCATAACATGAATTACAATAATCCAGACTCGACCCTCGTGAATAAGGATGTGTCTCCAGTTTGGGAGTTTAAACATCTGAGTGGAAAGTTCAAAAAGGGCGACGAAAGCTCACTAATTTATATAAAGAGAAGATCAATTGCTAATAACAATTCACGAAGTAATAGCTATTCTAACGAGAGATCGTACCAATTACAACATCAACCACACATACATTCACAGCAGCAGCGTGGTAACTCGCACCCATCTGCTCAAGCGTATCAGAGTAATAGTGAACTGTATTTTGCGCAAAACTACCCTCATTCATCATTTCCTAATAGCGCGTTTGTACAACAACAGTTGACCTATGATCCACCAACCCAACAGCTATTTTACTATCAACAACCACCCCAACAACAGCAACAGCAACAGCAACAACAGCAACAACAGCAACAACAGCAACAACAACAACTACAACAATTACAACAACAGCAACAGCAACAGCAACAACAGCAACAACAGCAACAACAGCAACAACAACAACAACAACAACAACAACAACAACAACAACAACAACAACAACAACAAATACGACAAATACAATTACAACAGCAGCAGCAACAGCAACAACAACAATTACAACCACAATTCTATAACCTGCAGCCGCCTTCTATTACTACTCCCTCTTCGCAAAATTCATATAGCTACAATAGACCCCACGTGATGTCTCATCAAGACAATGTACAAGGGCAACCTTTTCCAGGGTACAACAACAACAACAACAACAACAACCAAATATATCCCTATCTACACCCTGAACAAACACAACGACCATATCTATCACAATTTTCTCAAGGGCCAACATTTTTGCAACATGAACAAGCGACTAAGGAAATACCCAATCAAAAACCACTTATTAATCAATCTTCACCAAGCAGTATCTCTGAACCACGACAGAAGGAAACCTCAAATGTTACTGTACAACAAGCGACAGTTTCACCACAATTGCAGAAGTCTTCGGCATTACAAGCTCAAACCCCGATATCTACTGAAACTCTTGACCGGCAGAAATCACCTATCCGTCCATCTAAACTCCAATTTAGAAAAGTATGGCAAGAAAACGGAGCAAGATATAGAAACCCATCATTGTTATTTGATCCGCTAGCTCCAATCCCGCAATCATTGCCTACTTCTGCTACTTCTAGTACTACTACCACTTCTACTAATACTACTACTACAACAACAAGAGCTACTCCCCCTCCACCACTACCGCCACCACAGCTACCACCGTCATTTTCTTCTTCTTTGGCTGTCCCACAACTGCAAGATCTGACATTTTCCGAAAGGAGTTCCCTCAGTGTAAACAAACCTTCATCGTCAATACTAAGACGACCAAGCTCAGTAACCTCAAGATCGTCGACACTGATGTCAGTTTTACTGTCTACGCCAAGCACTGTAGATATAAAAAACTCCTCGTCAACCCCTTTGCTAGCTCCAATCCCCAAACAGCATTGCAAAATGGACACCACCTCCTCTTCCACTTCCTTACTACCGCCATCTTACTCGGCTCCGATCTACTCATCCCTGGTTCCTATAGACCCTTCCTCCGCCTTATCATCCTCCTCGCCGTCACTACCACAATTACCACCTCCACCACCATCATCATCATCCTCATCATCATCATCATCTTATCAATATGTTACACTGAAAAAACCGTCCATTTTATCAAGCACAATTCAAGAAAGATTACGTCCTTCGGTATTTGAACTCCACTCTTTCCAAAGCAGAACAACACCCTCTTTTACTTCTGCGACCACTGCCACCACCTTCAATGCGTCTCAAAGAGATGACAATAGTAGTGGTAGCATCAGCAGTGCTAATATGAGGAATCCGATTGCAAGTGGTTCGATAGCTTCGCGGTCATCACAAGCCTCAATATTCTCTAACAAATCCTCATCAATATCATCAGCCACGTCGTCATTCCCAGGCCGTGCATCATCATATGGCTCGATTGCTTATAGCAAAAAGAATTCCATATCTATAGCACCGCATGAACAAATATCCCTGTCCTCAATAGAAGATAGTATACAACCACCACAGGCTCAAACCCAATCTCAAACCCAATCTCAATCTCAATCTCAACCACAACCATCACCACCGTCATTGTCATCATCATCATCGTCACCAATGCAAAGTGTCTCTCATCAACAACAATCATATTTTAGTCAGTCCCATGCTACGACAACTGCAGATACTAATAATATCTCCTCTACCCAAACGGGACCTACTTGCATAATGGGACAATCCCTGAGACTAAAAACTCCTATTCAAAATAGATCAAATTTGCCAAATCTGAATGACCCAGTACCACTTCCTGCCTTTAGTACTGCTGTTGCTTCAGGAACCACATCTGGGAATAGCAATGGCGGTGGCAATAGTCACGGAACTAGCCTTTCCAAACCTCTTTTGAATAAGAAAGTTTCTGTGACTTCATTGCTCGACGATAATTCAAACAATGTGGAGCCTCAGCTAAATGATGCTGGATTGCAGAATCGTGGTAAATCTGAAGCAGTAGTTGGGGGTCAACAAGGTCAAGACTTGGAGAATAAGGTCGCACCAATATATCTATCGTCTCTGATTCGAGAAGAGGAAGCGACCTCCTTATCTAGCCAGGAGGGTGAAAAGGAAAAAGATATAAAGAGGATGAGAGTAGAGTAGGGTTGAGATGGAAGATAGAAGAGGGGGGCGGAAGAGAAGAGGGGGGGTTTCTAATAATATTACAATCATGATCGAATACATTCTGGCTTTTTTTTTTTTTTTAATATTATTTTCATTCATTTCTGAGATAAAAGAAAAAAGTGTACCAAACAATGATTTCACAATCGAATAAGCAACGGCAACGGACTTAAGCCCTTTTTTCTTTCAATTTAATTCACTTTCAAATACAGTTTTTATAGAGTTTGTGTTTTTGTTTTCATTACTTATTATAGAATGAAAGACAATTTTTATATGGTGATATAAACTGGCTTGGATTCAATCTGGGTTCAGTAAGCTTCTCAGTGGCTTTTACTGAAAGCTGGTTTCTTTTTAGTGGAGTATATGAACTCTCAGTTGTAAGAGAGTGTGCTTCAATCTGAATGTTTCTCTTTTTCTTTTTACTTTCCAAGGGCATAATCAGACATATGAGCGCATTCAAAAACACAAAAGGTCCAAGTGCAAGTTACCTGGCCGATTGCCAGACCAGGGAGCTACAGCTAGATATATAATCAATATCAATTGTCCATCCGTGCCTCTTAGTCCCGCTTTACTCAAATCCAGTCCAAGTTTTCTTGTACTTGCTGAACCTAACAATTAAGTTAAAATGGACGGCTTTTCTTTCCTACTCTTCCAATATTTGTCTTTTTCACTGAACGAGATCTTACGGCATCTAGATCCGGATCGGAATCAGAATCGTTTTCCGGTAGAGTCAGCTGGTTACCACTACCAACACCACTGCTATTGTTACTGCTTCCACCCTTAAACTGTCGATAATCTTCTCGTTTACTCTGCTTTTTCTGCAGTTCTCCACTATTGTGCCGACTCCTGATCTTCTCTCTATTCTCATTCCTGATCTTATTCAACAACGCATTCATTGCTTTATTTTCCCCGTACTTCCTAAAATTATCTCCCGTGCCATTCTGTTGATTCGCTTTATTACTCTCTGATGTTCTAGTCAAATCTTTTGAATTCAAAAAATCACCCACTGTTTGCGTATTTTTGGTAAAACTTAAAGTAGCACCAGGCGCAATTACTTGTAGGTTTAAGAAATCATCCTTTTGGTCCTCTTTACCCTCCTTGCTCTTTGTGGTTGTTATTGTTGTTGTTGTTGTATCACTTCTTACAGGCTGTAACCAATTCAACACACGTGCATTATTCTGAGCTATAGAAAATTGAAACTTGGCTTGTAATTCTTGCTTCTTCTTTATCTCTTCTCTTCTATTGGAAGCCATTTGATTATAAAGTGGCGTGAGTGGTAACAAGTGGCTGAGTTATTGGGATACATAGTAAAGTGAAAAACTCATCTCCTTAATAAGGATTGAAAAGTGAAAAAAAAAAAAGTCTTAAACGCCAAAGTTGCGAATTTGTGTAATTTTCTAATGGTACAAGAAGCCAATCCAACAGCCAACAAAACCTAACAAAACGTAGCCGAATAAGCTATTCCTCGAATTTCACTTAGCTCTATGATTTGGCTGCAAAAAAGAATTTGTACAATTCCGTTTCCATCCAAATTTCAGCTGGTTTCCTTTAACTGTTGGACAATAAAACCGTAAAGACATAACAAAACAGTATCACCATAAGAATAATTGTGAATGTCTAAGTTATTACAAATAGATGACACTATCTACCTTTGCTCGATAGTGTCTAGAGATTGTTCAGTTTGTCGAGGAAAGATGTGGTTTTGCGGGTTAAAGAAATATTCATATAAAAAAAATTCTCCCAGACAGGGAATTGAACCCTGGTCTACCATGCGACAAACGGTAATTCTAGCCACTAAACTATCTGGGATCTCACATGTGAAAAAGTGTTGCTATGATTACTATCATGTGACTTAGCTCAGAATTAGACACTATCGAGCAGAACGAGCTAGTGGAGCACACACTAACTCTTAACACTATCGAGCGATACTATCGAGTGAGGGGGGAAGGAGAGTGGATTGGAAAGAAAATGGTTGACAAAACTGTAGAGACTCCTTTGATGATAGACAAAGAGGCGATCGTAATGTCTCTTTACACCCCTTTTGGAATCAAAATTATATATAGATATACAAAATAAGTATGTACATTAATAAATATAAATAGTACAACTCAAAAGCTAGAATCCGACAACGGTCCTGGTTCTTTGCTTTTTGTTCTATCCTCGTCGAACCCGTCAACACTATCGAGCAGAGCGAGATAGTGTTGTAACAAGCTACTGAGTATTGTAACAAGCTGCTGAGTGTTGTAACAAGCTGCTGAGTATTGTAACAAGCTACTGAGTGTTGTAACAAGCTGCTGAGTGTTGTAACAAGCTGCTGAGTGTTGTAACAAGCTGCTGAGTATTGTAACAAGCTGCTGAGTGTTGTAACAATCTACTGAGTGTTGTAACAATCTACTGAGTATTGTAACAATCTACTGAGTGTTGTAACAATCTACTGAGTGTTGTAACAATCTACTGAGTGTTGTAACAATCTACTGAGTGTTGTAACAATCTACTGAGTGTTGTAACAATCTACTGAGTGTTGTAACAATCTACTGAGTGTTGTAACAATCTACTGAGTGTTGCTCGATAGTGTCGGCCCTTTTAATTTTCTCTATCATACGGGCAAAGTGTTACTTATTCCCGCCAATCTATCAATTGTTGGGGCAATCAAAGGGTAATTCAAAACATCTCCAATATATGGTATAGACCTTAAAAACTGAACAATAGTGCCAAAGAAATCACCAAATAATCCCAATATTCCAAAACTTTCTAATATAAACCCAATAAACGATCTTTTCAATAAAATCAAAATGATCCCCAAGGCAAAAAAAACAGTCCCTCTAATCTTTGTAGGTCTTGTAAAAAACAAAAGTGTACGTTGTGGACCAATAATTAGTATCAAGCCAATTATGAATAACAAATTACCCAATGCCAAAAAGCCTGGATCAAAGAAAGTTATTATTCCAAATAGAAAGAAAAAGATACCTCCTGCAGTGAATCCCACGCCAAATTCTTTATAAAAAGAAAAAACTGTTAGTTACTGTTGTCTCTAGATAAGATATAGTTCATATTTGATACACATACTCTGTCTTTCCGATAACCAGATCATCTTAAAACGTTATCTTTAGACTAGGGCTAATTAAGGGGTGTATACACCAGTATATATTCCTTTGTTATCTAAAATGGTTCCTGAAAAAAAAAAAAAAAGATAGACACAACTCAAATTTTTTTTTTTTATTTCCATTGTTTCATCATCTTTTGTTTTTCGTTTTCACTTTTGACAATGTTGAAAACTTTGCGTCGCACTATGCTTGTTCTGCCACAATTAACTTGAAAAAAAAGGTAAATTTAGCATGTTAATTTGTGAAGAAGTTTTGATTTAGTGTGAGATATGTAATTAGTTTTAAAGAGTCTAGGGAGGGGGGGGGGGGGGGGGGGGGGGAGGGAGTGTGACTTCCTTGTAGGGGTGGGTCTTTGCCTTTTTAATTTTTTTTATTCGCATTATGTTTCTCGTTTACACGTATCTATGAGCAAAAGAAACTTTCTTTTAGTCCAAGGAGTAGTGACACTATCGAGCAGAGCAAGATAGTGGAGCAGCACTGACTATCAGGGTGTCTATAATACACTGGTTTAGTGTAATACTTGAAGCAAAATAAGTTTGGACAAACCCGTGTGAGTTTCGAGAAAGATAGTTTGGAGCAAAATCGATCCCTATAAAAAGATTTTTATCAATTGTTAATGGTATATCCTCACTGGCTGCGAAAAAAAAAAATAAAAATAGAAGCTAAGCATAGGGCATTTTGTCTTTAAAAACGTGGGCTTCTAAAAAGCTGATTGTGTATTCCCTATAACCAAATCTCAAAACCGCCTAAACGGAATAGACCAATAGGAAATAGAGGAATGTGCAGAAAAAAGGAAAGAGACAAAAATGGAGAATTATTACTTCATTCAAAATCATCAAATATAGATTTGAAAAACAAAGTAGAACGAAAACGAGCTTGAAAAACGAGTAACAGATGCGAGAAGCTGTCATTTACACCTGCATATGTTGTTTTGTAATTCAGATATAAACTACTTCTTCTTGAACTGTGTTCCCTCTGGGCGTATCTTAAAAGAAACGCACGTTTCACCTATTTTAGTGTAAAGAGTACAAATCTCAGCTTCCCCCCCCCCCCCCTTTTTCCTCTTCCTCCAAGTCGTCGCAGGAAAATTTTAAACAATGGTAATAAAACCCGTGTTTTGGAAAATGATTGAAACACGCAAAAACTTAGTTAGAGCCGTTTATGATAAACCCAAAAAAAACATAATTAGAGCCGTCCATCGTTCAACAACAAGAACAGAGCTTTACCCATAAATGAACTAAACTCTGGTTAGGTTTCTGGATTATAAATAATAGACAATATTCCCTCAACCATCTTCAAGTCAAACCTCGTGTTGTTTTTTTTTAAAAGTCTATATACCCCAATTCCCTATAAAAGTATAACAAAAAGAAAATGAGAATTATTCTTTTTGCTATTGCTTACTATCTTGTTCACGCTGCTGGTCAAACAGTTTTCGCTAGTAACTGTCCGTCAGATTCACCTGTTTCGTGTTCGAGCTCAGCCTCGGCTTCGTGTTGTTTCGAATCTCCAGGTGGTGTTCTTTTACAAACGCAATTCTGGGACTACTCACCGTCAACTGGTCCGTCAGATTTGTTCACCTTACATGGCTTGTGGCCAGATAACTGTGATGGTACATATGAACAGTTCTGTGACACCTCAATTGAAATCAACAATGATGGTAGCACCGTTAAAAGCATTTTGGTTGATCAATTTAATGATGAAAAGTTGTACAACAATTTGAACGCTGTTTGGAAAGACATTAATGGCAAAGATCACTCATTATGGGCTCACGAATGGAACAAGCATGGTACTTGCATAAACACAATTAAGCCAAGTTGTTATTCAAACTATCAAACAAACCAAGATGTCTACGACTACTACTCAATCTTGTATAACTTGTTTGAAACTTTGCCAACCTATAAATGGTTAGTCGACGCAGGTATCACTCCAAGTAACTCCAAAACCTACACCAAAGCTCAAATCCAAAATGCGCTTAGCTCAAACTTTGGTCAAAATGTTTATTTCAAGTGTGATTCAAACAACGCCATAAGCGAAGTCTGGTATTTCCACCACATTAAAGGTTCCTTGTTGCAAAACGATTTTATTCCAATTGCTCCTTTATCTTCTTCAAACTGTCCAAGCACGGGAATTCTTTTCCCACCAAAGCAAGGAGGAGACGATGGTGGCGATGGTGGCGATGATAAGGATCCAGTCGTGACCAAGACCACCACTTCCGGCTCAATACCAACTGGGATCCCTTCCCGAGGTTACATTGATTTATCTGGTAAATCAGGTTGTTTGATCTCAAATGGTAAATGGTACACTTCTGGTACTTGTGCAACTTACAAGTTTGCTCAATCAACATATGGTGGAATCACTATTACCTCATCTAAGGGAGGATGTGGTATCAATTCATCTACTAATGAATTTGTTTGTGGATCTTCAGTTGATGCTTCAAAGAACCAGTTTCAAGTCAAGGATTCTACTATTGGGTATGGTGGTAACTACAATTGGTGTTTGGGCTCGCAAACTGGTGGTGGTTCAACTGCTCAAACTAGTATCAAATTGAGTGATGGTTCATGTAGTTCATTTAAGCTTCAAATTGCTTCTAAATAGGTATATACTTAGAGAGGATATTTTTACAAAAAAAAAAAAGAAAAAAGTTGTTGATAGATTAGAGAAATGAAAAAGAAAAAATGAATATTGTTTTTACAATAAAAAAGCCAAAGTCATATTTATTCTCTGTAACAATAGTTCAATCAATGAGTTTAAAATGTAATAATGAGTGACAATTGAACTGTTGGTCTTTAACTGTTGGCATTTTTTTTTATTTTTTTTTTAAAGAATACTCTTTTTTTTTTTTTCGTTGGTCGCGAAATTTAACAAACAACATTTTTGAATCGATTATTGACCAATTTTTAAACCAAAGATAAATTTGCACCACACATTTTCAAGTTACAAAATGGGGTTACAGATAAATATGTGTGGATCCTGTAAAATATAGATAGTGTCAAATTTGGACGAATGATGTATTCTAGTTTTTCTTTTTCGGTTCTGCCATGAAAAGAAAAAAACCAATTACACATTTGTGTTGAAGAAAAAAAAAGTGGACGAGTTAAGAATCGAACTCAAGACCTTTTCCATGCTAAGGAAACGCTCTGCCAACTGAGCTACACGCCCTACTTCATGTTAAATAATATCAATAGAAATATTAGCAGTATGACTCAAAGTTTTTCACCAAACCAAGGGCACTCAAGACAAAATAATCTATTATTTTTTTGTCATAATCACATTAGACGAGTTTGTTTCGATATTTTAAAAATAACTAGGTTGAATGAACCGAGGTCAAAAGGGGTGACCAGGTCAACTTTGTGAAAGGATATAAACCATTTTAAAGTAATAATACCAAGATCCTTGAATCAAGAACTTCAAATTTTGCAAACAGACAGAATCCTTGCGACAACAAGGTTTTTGCAATTTATATAAAAATGGATATTTCAAATACCAAGAGTTTTTCCAAATACAGCTTAATGTAATTCAACTAGCATCAATACTTTGTTGGTATTGACAAATTATAATTAGCAAGAGGCACCAAAAGAAGCCGAAGACGATGCTGAAACAGGAAACGTTGCAGGAGATTGCTGTGTCCGTTACATAGTCTAATTCAGGAAAAGGACAGTAAGCGTATGATTAATATTATATCAACATAGAGACGAAAAAGCTAGAGATAAAAAAGCTAGAGACGAAAAAGGTAGAGACAAAAAAGGTAGAGACAAGTGTGTCTCTAGCTTTTTTGAAAGAGAATTAGACATACCAACATTATAAGGGAAAGAAGATTGAGGGTTTGATATCTCCATACTATTAACTCCAAAAAAAACAAAATTCTTTTATTTTACATTTTTCACCCTTGAAACTTGAAACCCCTGATTTGTGAAAAATAAACTTGCCAAACTTGCAAATTGGCAAACTTGCAACTTACCAAACTTGCAACTTACCAAACTTGCAACTTACCAGACTTGCAAATTGGAAGCTGGAAAGCTATTGAAATTGGTATACATTGAGTCAACCCCACAAAAAAGAGGTTACCATGTCAAAAATGGGATTCACATTAGTAAAATTCCCAAAATTCGCGGGGCCAGAATCGTTTTATTAATAGAGTATTGAATAATCTATTGTAATCCTATGAAAAATTTTGACTCCCTTTTTAACTTCCTACAGCAAGTTGCAGGGTCAAATCCTAGCACAAATAAAATGTGCCAGCAAGGGTAAAAAAAAAAAAGAGGTAAAATTGAACCAACTTTGTAACAAAATCTGGGAATATTATTGTTAATAATCTATGTGTGTATTGTTAACAAAAGGTTATTATTGCCCTGACAATACGAGTTCAATGTAGTAACGAAATGAGCAGAAAGAAATTAAGGCGTACTTATTGAAAAGAAAAGAAAAGAAAAGACAAACCACAAACCACAAACCACAAACCATACACCCACTCGTAGTTTGTGTCTTATACCGTATATATCTATTATGTATAACAATCTTCGTCTTCGTTACCAATACTATAACTTTACTTGCGTGTTAAATAAAGGGCCAAAGAAAAATTAACTTGATTTGCTTAATTTTTTTTCTTTTTTTCTCCTTCCAGTTTTTTCTTACTTGGTTCAACAAAAAATTTGAGTTTATTTGCCATTACCTTTGGGTATTACTCTTTCATTCTCTCAGCACACAGGCAAAATCAGAGTCACAAGGCTACACCTAAAAGCCGAAATCAACTAATATAGATTCATTCTTTTTCGCATTTCCTTCAATACGCACATACACACATACACACAGATAACTTAAAGATATATAACACACACGGATAACACACACACGGAAAAAACACACACACACACACACACACACACACACACACACGGATTAGACATACCTTAGTAGGACCCCCACTCAATGAGTATCTCGCGAGATCGCAATACATTGTCTCCTAATGGAGATGATGCACCAGCAAGAGTCTCTAGTAGAAAGGGAAAGAATTTGCATGTTGCACATAGGCGTTCACCTTCTGAATTGACTACGTTAATGGTTGAACAATACAACTTACAACGCCAATTGGATCAGGTGCAAGCACAGCAAAAGCAAATCTTAGAACAACAACAACAGCAACAGCGGCAACAACAACAGCTACAATTGCCGCCACCACAGCAGCAACAGCAGCAACAGCAGCAGCAGCAGCAGCATCATCATCATCATCAGCAGCAGCAATATCAGTACCCACCGCAGACATCTTCAAATTATTCAGATACACTGTACTCATCGCAACCTACTAATTACAGGGGCTCGCATTCTCGAAACTCTTCAATCAACTCACACAAAAGAACCGGATCCGCAGGCGCTACAGCTCATGGTCATTCAAGAAGACACTCCTTAGCATTAAATGAGGCAATCGCGGCGGCCGATCAGCAACGAACAAGCAGATTAGGATCGAGCCCAAGAGTCCAGGTCCTGCAAGAAACGAGTGACGATAACAGTGAAAGAGCAGACTCTTTCAAATTCCCACCTCCAGCAGGTGGAAATGGTGGTGGTGGTGGTGGAAATGGTGAAGATACGAGTAGCAATCCTACATATTTAACGCACAATCGTTCGAGATCTATGGCATATGGACAACAAGCTTTTAAATTTCCGGCAACGCCAGCACAGCCGGAGACAAATAACTTGTTGCCTCCAACTCCGAATTTTACAGTAACTCAATCGCCAGAGCGCGGTGGTGCTCATAATAGAAGAACGTCTCATTTTAGAACCGCTTCACGCAACACCGATGGTATCAACCAAAATTGGAGAAGTCAACAGCAGCAACAACAACAACAACAACAACAAGGTCAGTTGCACGCTAATACTAGCACTACAGCTACCACACTCAACCAGCATCAAAGACAAGGCTCTACTTTGGAACCTCCAGGCATGGGCGCATTTGTACCAGGTCACAAACCACGCAATAGCTCGTATGGTGGCGGATCGTCCGTTTCATCGTTGTCACACTTCTTGCCAAATAGTGGCACCGCTGCCGGTTCTCAAGGTGGTGGACCAGGAGGTCAAAATGTTGGCGGAAACAATGGACGAAAATCTCTTTTTGCACCTTACTTGCCACAATCGTCTCTTCCAGAATTGATTAACGAGGGCCGGTTAGTTACAGGTACACTTAGGGTTAATAAGAAGAACAGATCAGATGCATATGTGTCTACAGACGGATTATTGGACGCCGATATTTTTATCTGTGGGTCAAAAGACCGTAATCGTGCTTTAGAAGGGGATTTGGTAGCCGTGGAGTTACTAGTAGTGGACGAAGTTTGGGATTCAAAGAAGGAGAAAGAGGAGAAAAAAAGAAGGAAGGATCACAACACGAGACCATTGAATGACGATATTCATAATGATGCCACCTCAGCGCCAGCTATAGGAGACAGCAACAACAGCAACAACAACAACAACAACAACAACAACAATAATAATAACGGTCACAGCAACAACAACAACGGCAACAGCAACAGCAACAATAAGGATGACAAAGATGACGAAGGAACACTTGGAAGAAGAGGTTCTCTTAAGCAAAGACCCACTATGAAGAAGAATGATGATGTTGAAGTTGAAGGACAGTCTTTGCTTTTGGTTGAAGAAGAAGAAATCAATGATGAGATCAAGCCTTTATACGCAGGTCATGTTGTAGCTGTTGTTGATCGTATACCTGGTCAATTGTTTGCTGGAACATTGGGATTGTTAAGACCGGCCCAAGCTGCACAAGCTGCCAGAGACAAGAAGTCAGGAAATGAATCTTCGGTAAAAACCCCCAAGGCGCCAAAAATTGTCTGGTTCAAACCAACAGACAAAAAGGTACCTTTAATAGCTATTCCTACTGAGCAAGCGCCCAAAGACTTTGTGGAGAATCATGAAAAGTATGCCGATGAACTTTTTGTTGCTTCTATTAAAAGATGGCCAATTACCTCGTTGCATCCATTTGGTACGTTGGTCTCGAAATTGGGTAAAACTGATAGTTCAGAAACAGAGGTGGATTCCATCTTGAGAGACAACAACTTTTTGTGTGATGAATACCCGGAGGAGGGTGATGATGCTGACAATGTGTCTGATGCGTCTAGTACTGCTTCAACATACGACTTACCACTGGTGGAATTGGAGTTGACAAATCCAAATAGGGTGGCATACATGAATGATTATATCATTGCCTTTTCGCCAAATGGAGAATATGTTGATCATGCATTGCACGTGAAGAGATTATCAAATACAAAAATCGAATTGGGTTTTCATGTTTGTGACATTTCCTACTTTATCCAGCCAGGTTCTACCTTGGATCGTAAGTCCAAGAAAAGATCATCATCAGTTTTCCTTCCTCAGAAAGTGGTGCACCTTTTCCCCAAGCAAGTTCAAAAGTTGGTTTCTTTCAAGGAAAATGAAAAAAATCTTGCTGTTTCAGTTATCTTTGATATCGACACAACAAATTTCGAGGTGGAGGACTTGTACATTCAGGAATCAGTTATTGTTGCCAAGCAAGTGGTTACTTATTCTTCTTTCAATAGCATATTAGATAGCAAGCCAGTCGACAATATTTCGTCGGCAACTTGTGATTACATCAAAACTTTTAGCTTAATTGCCAAAGAGTTTCGTCGTCATCGTTTATCAAATAGAGACTTGGGAATCACACCCAATTTAACGTTATTGAATCAATTGGATGATGAAAAAGTGTCTTTGAGTTTGAACATTTTTGATGATAACTTGGCACTTGATGTGATATCAGAGATTGCGTTTAAAGTTAACTCGGCAGTTGCGGCAAAGATACAGGTTGGATTAGGAAACAAGGCATTTTTACGTCGCCAGAGTTTGCCAACGTTGCAAAAGATTGAGACTTTTGTACGAAAAGCCACCAACTTGGGATTTAAAATTGATACTACAAACTCCGCCACATTGCAAAACTCTTTATTGAAAATAGAAGACCCAGTGAAAAGACAGTGCGTTGAGATTTTGTTGTACAAATGTATGTCAAGAGGCAAGTACTATGTTGCAGGAAAACAAGATCCAGATAGTTATGGTCATTACTACTTGAATCTTCCTTTGTACACCCATTTCACAGCACCATTGAGACGGTATGCCGATTTGATTGTTCATAGACAGTTGAGGTCAATAATGTATAAAGAGACCGAGGAAAAGGATTTGGATTCATTAAAGGCAACTGCAGACTATTGTAATTTCAAAAAGGATTGTGCGGCAAATGCACAAGAACAAGCAATCCACTTGTTGTTATCTCAAACTATCAATGAAATCAGTGAAAGTGCCGGTCAAGTATTGTGCATGGGAACAGTAGTACAGGTTTACGAGTCTGCATTTGATGTGTTTATCCCCGAATTTGGGGTCGAAAAAAGAGTGCATGGGGATCAATTACCTTTGGCAAAAGCCGAATTTGACAAGAATGATCGAATTTTGGAGTTATTTTGGGAAAAGGGTGTTGATTCTGCTACATATATACCACCAGATGAAAAATCATCTTTATCGTACCGAAACTCAATCAAAAATAAGTACAGAACCACTTCTGCTGAGGCTGCAAAGATTCAAAACAAGACAATTTTGGAAAAGGATAATTTTGCAACTGATTCAATTGTTGAGAAATTGAAAAAAATGAATTTGGAGCTTCCTAAAATGAAGATCCCAATGACTACTTTTAGCAATAACGATGACAGCGACAACAACAAGAGCAAAAGCAACAACACTGAAGACGAGAAGCATAAGTATAAGCATAAGGAAGATTTTACAAAGTCCATGCCGTCGTCTCCAACTCAATCACACATGCCTCATAATACAAGGACGAATTCGTCATCAGTGATTACTGATTCGAATGATAATAGTAATCAATATGCAAATGGATTAGCGCCATATTTGCAAAATATTGAGACGAGAGTTGAAGGAGACTCATACATACAAGTGATTAAGGAATTGAAACAAGTTCCTGTATTGTTGAGGGCTGAAATCGGTATGACATTGCCTTGTTTGACTGTACGCATCTTAAATCCGTTTATGTAGATGATGAAGAAGGAGTAACCTTTTTTTTTTTTTTTTTTTTTTTTTTCTTCCTCGTGAAAAATTCATTTCATTTACCAAGTGGGTGATAAGACAGATACCTGGTCAGTATAGACACCCCTACGAATCTTTAGCATATGGCCCTACAGTAATACCAGACTCTATGACTGACAAAGAACAGCATTTACCACACCAGAAGATAACATCTGTAGACCCTGAGCCAGTTAATGGAACGCATGCGCCCAAGCCAATCTTGCCTATAAAAAGGGCTAAACTTATGTCAATACCATCGCAGCTGAATGTTAATAGTCCCTTGCAGACACGCGCTGCTTCGCCTTTAATTCTCAATCCGCCAATAGACTCTGATGGTTTATCTTGGCCGTCGCGTGGAGCGCGGTCCAGAATCGATCAAACTGAGGAAGAGGCACAGAAGCGTGAAAAGAGGATAGCTAATGCCGTGCAAGTGATTTTGGAGGAATTGGGTGAGGACACGTCTCGTGAAGGGCTTATTGAAACTCCAGAGAGATACGCTAGAGCTATGCTTTATTTCACAAAAGGGTACGAAGAAAACATAAGAGACGTTATAAAACGAGCAGTATTTGAGGAGGATCACGATGAGATGGTTATTGTTAGAGATATTGAAATATATTCATTATGTGAGCATCACTTGGTTCCGTTTTTTGGGAAAGCTCATATTGCCTACATTCCAAATAAGAGAGTCTTGGGATTAAGCAAATTGGCAAGACTAGCAGAAATGTACTCTAGACGTTTTCAAGTGCAGGAGAGGTTGACAAAACAAATTGCTATGGCATTGAGTGAGATTTTGAAACCTAGAGGCGTAGCTGTTGTTATTGAGGCCACACATATGTGCATGGTTAGTCGAGGAGTTCAAAAGACTGGAAGTTCGACTACCACAAGTTGTATGTTGGGTTGTTTCAGAGACCAACAGAAGACGAGGGAAGAGTTCCTAACCCTATTAGGGAGGAAATAGTAATGTTGATTTATTTACTTTACTTTATTTGTTACTTTTTCTTTTTCTTTTTTTTTTTGATTTTGATTTTGATTTTGATTTTGATCTTGATTGGAAGACTAATTCAACAACTGCTTTTCCAAAGATCCATGATACCACCCGACTTTTCTTATTTTTTTGTATATTTTTTTTTTCACGAACGTCATGATAATTCAACTTACCTAGTTTTTATTTGTATACAAGTGTTTTGTAATAGAACATTGAATAGATTTGCCAAGTCAAAATGTCTTATAAGATAGAGAGATGTTGAAGCTAAATACATAATCCTTCTCCTCTAGAGTTCTATCTGGACCTGTATCTAGACCTGTATCTAGCGTGGCTTTCATTTTGTAGCTGAATTTTTCCCCATTACTGTTTAATCAATTCAGCTACATCAAGAACAAAGTCATCGTCACCGTATTGGCCCATCAATTGTATTCCAACCCCATCATAAGGAATAGAAATGGACGGTAATCCAGCAAGGGATGCAGGAACTGTGAAAATGTCATTAACAAATCCATTTAATATATTTTCTTTGTCATGACTAACATAATCCTCGATTGTTGGAGCAACGTCCATAGCTGTTGGTGATATCAACAAGTCACATAGGTTACTATTTGATTGCTTTTGCTGACCGTCTTTCAACAAAACATGCTCATTTTTGAAGAAGGATGAAACCTCCTTATTTAGCGTTTCACGAAGTTTATTTGCCCTCATATAGTAATCAGCAGATTCGGAACTTAATGTGAAATTTCCCAATATGATTCGTCTTTTCACTTCTTCGCCAAAAGATTGAGTTCTATTATCGTACATCAATTTCATTGTTTGATCATTACCGTCAATATCTACTAGTTTTGAAGTGTAGCCATAGCGTGTTCCATCGTACCTGGCCAAGTTCGAGGCTGCCTCTGATGTAGCTAAAGTGTAGTATGCTGGTAGTGCCTTGATTATGCTCTTGATAGATATACTTTCCAACTTGTGGCCAAGATCCAAGAGCTTGTTCAAAACGTCTTCCCATTTTTGCCTAACAGTTGGTGTCACCTGTTCCATTATAAATTGTTCCGGTACACCAATAGTTAGTTTTTCCCTAGTGCTGTTCTCAGGCGGCATTTGCGTAGTTTGAATCGTTGCACGGACATCTTCTGGTAACGATGTGGGATCTTTGTTGTCATAGACATTGGTAACTCGGTAAACTTTCCTTATTGTATCCACATCTCTAGCTATTACTCCAACGGTGTCTAATGTTTGTGCATAAGGGACAATACCCCACCTTGATAGCCTCCCATAGGATGGTTTAAAGCCAAAAACATTACAATAACTTGCGGGTAGTCGAATTGATCCGCCAGTATCCGTGCCCAAGGCAAAATCACACAATGGATCACTACCTGCTACCGCAGCTGCAGAGCCACCCAGAGACCCCCCAGAAATGGCTTTTTCGTTATATGGATTTATTACTGGTCCATAAAATGAGTTACGATTGGCGGAACCCATACCAAACTCATCCAAATTTGCTTTCCCTACACAGGTTGCTCCTTGCTGAGATAATAACTTAACCACTGTAGCATCAAAGGGACTTTTGTAGTTAAACAAAGAACGAGATGCAGCAGTGGTTGTCGTGTTTTTGGTAACAATGTTGTCCTTACATGCGTACCTGAGTCCATCAAGTAGTCGCACCGCGCTGCCGCTACCACCGCCTCCCACCGACGAGGTTGGCAGCAGTGGCACAACTATATCTTGCGAAATCAAACTATTGAACCTATCAGCTCGCTGGTGCAGCAAATATCGCCTCACACATCGTGAAACCTGTATCATCTTGCACCTCATCCCCCCCAAAAAATGAATATGACCCGTTGGTAGTTGGATGCGATGCGCGGTTATAGGAAAAAAAAAAAAGAATGAAAAATTACATTGAAATAAAGATCTTGACTCATAATCGTTACTAGTTTTCTGATTTTGCAAGTTGAGTAAATGAGTACGAGTACGAGTATAGAGGTATTTGGATCCAGAGGATCTTCCTTGATCTCTTTGGTGAATAATTTAAAGTTGTCAATAGCTTTAGCAGTTTACAGGCCAGACGTGAATATTCAAATCCAAATCCCCGAGAGTGCTGATGATGAGATAAAGGGTAAGGACAAGAGTGTTTTACTAAGGGATAAGAAAACAGGGTTTGAATTGGTAGAAGTAAACGCTATTGTTAAATACTTGGCCAACGATTTCACTAATAATGAGTTTCTTCAGTTTGAAGAGTCGAGATTACACAAGGCGTTATTGACCAATCAAAAAAAGGCATTGTTAGTAGAAGCTTTAAGTAATACTCCAAGACCAGCCGTGCCATTATTGTCGGACAAAATGGACCTGGCTCCCAACCCCACCCAGATTATCTTATTCGCAGCATTATATCCAGTCTACAATGGCTTGAGCGAAGCGCCTACTTGGTTTCAAGAGCTTGGCAAAAACCCCAAGATATCGTCATCATTACCAGGCGTTGCCAAATTAGAAAGACCAAAAGAGAAAAACACCGGTGCGCAAAAGCTTACAAAGAACCATCTCGTTAAGAAGCAAGCAGACAGAATTGTACCCAAACCTGACGAGCGTAATATCTTAATCACATCAGCTTTACCATATGTTAACAATGTACCACATTTGGGGAACATTGTTGGGTCCGTTTTGAGTGCTGATATATATGCCAGGTATGCCAAGAACCGTAATTACAATGCGATATACATTTGTGGTACCGATGAATACGGTACAGCAACAGAAACAAAGGCATTAGAAGATGGTGTTACTCCACAACAGTTATGTGACAAGTACCACAAGATTCATAAAGAGGTGTATGATTGGTTTGATATTGGATTTGATTACTTTGGAAGGACTACAACTCCAACGCAAACTGAAATTGCTCAAGATATCTTTACAAAATTGTACAATAATGGCTATTTAGAGGAGAAAACTACTGAGCAGTTGTATTGCGAACACCACAACTCATTCTTGGCAGATAGGTTTGTAGAAGGTACGTGTCCAAAATGTGCATACGAAGATGCAAGAGGAGACCAGTGTGACAAATGTGGACAATTGTTGGATCCCTTAGACTTGATTGAACCTCGATGTAAAGTTGATGGTACAAAGCCCGTTGTAAAACCATCAACTCACATTTACCTCAAGTTAAACGAATTAGAGGAACCTTTGAAAAAATGGGTTGACTTGTCTAGTGAAAAAGGAGCTTGGTCAAAAAACTCCAAAACCATTACAAATTCTTGGATTAAGCAAGGGTTGGAGCCTAGATGTATCACAAGAGATTTGAAATGGGGTACACCTGTTCCTCTCCCGGGTTACGAAAATAAAGTCTTGTATGTTTGGTTCGATGCCACAATCGGATATGTTTCCATCACCGCAAACTATTTCAAAGGCATTCAACAAGAAGAAAAAAGAGGAAAAGGAGAAGGAGAAGGAGAAGGAGAAGGAGAAGGTTCTACTGAATATTGGAAGCAATGGTGGAGGAATCCAGAAAATGTCGATTTGTATCAATTTATGGGTAAGGATAATGTACCATTCCACACGGTTGTTTTCCCTGCCACGGAAATCGGTACAGGTGATAATTGGACCAAGCTACACCATTTGAGCACTACCGAGTATTTGCAATATGAAGGAGGCAAATTCTCCAAATCGCGAGGTATTGGAGTTTTCGGTAACAATGCCAAACAAACTGGAGTTGCCTCAAGTGTATGGAGATACTACTTGGCCTCAAACAGACCGGAAACTAGTGATGCTCACTTTTCATGGGACGATTTCGTAACCAAGAACAATAGTGAGTTATTAGCCAACTTGGGTAACTTTGTCAATCGTATTGTTAAGTTTGCTATTGCCAAATATAACGGTGTTTTGCCCAAATATGACACAAGGAATATCCCAAACTATGAAGGAGGATTTGTTTCTGAAATCAACTCACTCTTATCGACTTATATTGCAAACATGGAAGCAGTTAATTTGAGAAAAGGGTTGGAAACAGCAATGTTGATTTCTTCGAGAGGAAATCAGTTTTTGCAAGAAAACAAATTGGACAACTCTTTATATAATAACTTTCCGGAAAAATCCGATGCCGTTGTTGTAACTGCATTGAACTTGGTTTATTTGGTTGGAGCGGTTATCTCGCCATTTATGCCCGAAATTGCCAATAAGATCAATGAGATGTTGAATGCTCCTGCATTATCAATAACCGATGAATTTGTACCTGTATTACAGCCGGGACACCATATTGGCAAGGCTCAATATTTGTTTACTAGAATTGATGAAAAGAAGGTTGAAGAATGGAGAAAGTTATATGGGGGACAAAAGAAAACAGAAGCTTGAAAAAGTGAAAAACACATATAGGATTGATAACAAGGTAAAATAGAGAGAATGTAGAGATGTAGAAATGCAGGTCTAATATTTGGTCATCGGATCTTGATTATTTATATGAAGCATAGAAATAGCAATAGAACTAGCCATATTCTTTGGCCCTAACTTGCTACCATTTTTTTTAGAGCCGACGGAATAAGAACATTTTTTTTTTTCTTCTTCTTCTTCTTTGGCCTTAGTTGTATTTTTTTTAAGATGACCCCAAAATAGCTCAGTTTATTCCCTTTCGACTTACATGGGTTTGAGATATTGGATCACGTATTCTTTTTAGTATAGAGAGTCTTGCATAGATTGGGTCTGATGTTTTTCTATCAAACAACACTTTATGCTTATCTATTACATGTATATATATTTAATCTGTTATACTGGAAAAACTTATGATTTTATAATAGAACATTTTCTCACACTATTACTATGTATGAATAGATCTTTTCGTATCCTTTTTCCCCGGGCTGTTTATCATTCCCCACAATTCCCCTTATTGCTTGTTATTTCTACTGGGCATATATAAGCGCCAGGTCCCCCGGAAATATCGCAGTTGAGTAGCAGTTACGTCACAGTTAAGTCACGGTTAGGTCGCAGCTAGGTCGCAATTGAGTCACAGCTAGGTCGCAGTTAGGTCGCAATTGAGTCGCAGGTAGGTCGCAGGTAGGTTGCATTTTTTCATATTAGATTTACAATGTCATTACTGTTTACACGAGCCTTTTTAACTGGCTCGATAGTTGCTCCTTTAGTTACCAAATTTTTCATTATACCAATGTATTTCAATCCCAAGGAAATCATGAGGGAAGTTCATTATATACAACAGGAAATGGACTACGTTGGCTGGAATCTTAGGCGTTTAGAAGAAGAAAAAGGTATAAGCGAAGAGGACTTATATGTTCCTGCTACTTACTATAGGCAAAGCTAAACCTTTACAAATGAACCAAATTAAGTAGTATTTTGTTGCTAGCATTCAATCTTATATGGTACATATTAGATATAGTGAAGTGTATCGGTATATTCAGTGTGCTCCACTATCTCGCTCTGCTCGATAGTGTATTTTTATTGCAAATTCTTGATTAAAATTGAAAAGTAAGATCATCGTTTCACCTTCTATCTCTAAATGGCTTTGATTGCAACACTATCGAGCAGAGCGAGATAGTGGAGCAATACTAGCTGCCAAAGGATTGGTGGGGCAATACTAGCTGCCAAAGGATTGGTGGAGCAATACTAGCTGCCAAAGGATTGGTGGAGCAATACTAGCTGCCAAAGGATAGGTGGAGCAATACTAGCTGCCAAAGGATTGGTGGAGCAATACTAGCTGCCAAAGGATTGGTGGGGGGAGTGGGTAAACTATTTCATCAACATCTCAACAACTTGCCTTACACTCAACCGCTTGATATCTGTATAAGTCTGCCCTGTTCCTACAAATAAAATAGGCACTTTAGTAGCCATAACCATATTTATCGTAGTTCCAACCATATCACCAACGGTATCCACTTTTGAAATTATGAAAAAATCTAAACTTCGCTTATTGCCAAACGCTTGGTTGAAATTCATCGCTTGTTCAACAGAATCTGTTCCAACCAACGCTTCTCCAACCATAATGATTCTATCGGGATTTACCACATCTCCGAATTTCTTCAACGGTGCCATCAATTTCGCATTAGAATGCGTTCTGCCAGCAGTGTCAATTAGCACAATATCGTATTGATTTGTTCGTGCATATTCAATGGCCTGCTTTGCTGTTGTAACAACATGGTCACCACCTCCGTATCCCTTTTCAAAAATTTCAATCTTGGACTTGTTAGATAAATTGGAGTTTAAGCGATCCAAATTGTTCACATGCACTTTCAATTGCTCAACAGCACCAGACCGGAAAGTATCGCATGCACAAATAAGCACATTCAAATTGTTTTGCAAAAACCAATATGCTAATTTGGCAAGATTCGTTGACTTTCCAACACCATTGACGCCAACTACTGATATTACAAACGGTTTACCACCACCACCACTATTTCTCTTAATTTCATACAACAAGTCTGTCGATACGTTTGGGGTAAGTATTTTGGTGAGCTCTTCAGTCAATATTTGCTTATACGTGGTCATCGTGACAGTCTTTCCAGCTAAGCGACTTTTGATTTTATCAATAATTAATTTTGCAGTACCAGGAGCAATATTTTTTGATATCAATTGGTCATTAAACTTTTTTGATACTTCCTCCAAATTGATGGACCCTCCTAAATATGAGCTTATTCTACTGAAAAATCCACTAGATAAGCCTTTATCCTTCCCATCAGTGTTGCTGTCGTCTTCGTCATCGTCGTCATTGTCATCGTCATCGGATGCTCCTAATATTTCATTCAACTCGCTCACAAGGACAAGCTCATTACTCTTGGTAAATGCAGATTCATTATTGATTCTCATCTCTGGCATTAAGTTACTCATATCGCCATTTTCATCATTTCTAGAATAGTCTAATGGCCCAGAGTCCCCCACATCAATAATCATTTCTCCACTATCGTCCCATTTACGTAGTTTTTTCGATGTAGGTCTTTTGTTCAAGTTTGGTTGCTTTGCTGGCGCGCTTGTCGTGCTTGCTGTTCCGCTATTGGATACATTAACCACTGGTGCCGCCGCCGCCACCCGTGGTCCCTCTTCGTTGCGTTTCAATTTCATCAAGTTGTTAAATTGCAAATCAACCAATTGTTCAAATTTCGCACCTTCAGCCGTACTTCTCAAATCGTCGTCCTCGAATTTTTTGTAAATCTTATGTATACCATATAGCGTCTGCCTAACCTTGTCACTATCTATAGCAGTTATAGCATCAAAATACAAAGCAACATAGACATCTTCCTTATGAAAACAATAAAACCGCTTTTGATGTATAGTTTGAGTAGTGAAATTTGCATCTAAACTAGTTTGAGTTTCATTAATTATATGCAATATAAACTCATTAAAGGGGTAGATCTTGTTATTCCTTTGATATTCAACTACCCCCGAGGGCTTAAAGATTATTAGGCACTGCGACATGTCAATATCACCTTCTTCACTTCTAATAGCACCTTGATGTGAAAAATTATCAATGAAAAAAAAAAAATAAAATAAAAAAAAAAAAATCAAATCAAATGAAAAGAAACCAACTCATTGATTTCAAGAGAGTTTAATAATAAAGGGGACAATTTTGAAGAGACTATACGAGGTTTGGTGCAGATTTATACCAGATTTCCAGATCTTATTATTATCACTGTTTTCCCATTGTTAAGAAAAGATGGCTTACTACCAGCAACAGGTTAGCAACCCTCAAAATATGCAATTTTACCAATCGAACTACTCATTTCCACAGCAAAGCACGCCTTCAGCATCCGGGATGGGATCAATGGATACGGGATTTAATAACGTAAGTGGGTCGATGGGGAGTGGCGAGTTAACACCGGGCTTACTTGCTGCATTTGGAACACTGGGGTATCCAGGTGAACCACCATTACTAGAAGAATTGGGGATAAATTTTCTGCATATTAAGTCAAAGACACTCGTTGTATTGAACCCGTTAAATAAGGATATTCCCAGTGATATAATGAGCGACTCGGATCTTGCAGGACCCATATTGTTTGTATTGTTGTTTGGAACATTATTGCTCCTAGCCGGGAAAATACAATTTGGATATATATATGGAGTCGGCGTGTTTGGAATTGTGGGCTTACATTATCTATTTAAATTTATGAGCAATGACACAAGTATCGATTTGACTCGCTCCGCTTCTGTTATTGGTTACTGCCTATTACCTTTGGTTTTGATTAGTGTCTTGGGTGTGTTTACTTCCTTGGACAATTTAGTGGGCTATAGCTTAAGCGCATTTGCCGTTTTATGGTGCACGTATTCTGCCAGCGGATTTTTCGTTTCAGTGTTGAAGCTACACAATGTTAGACCGCTAATTGCTTATCCCTTGTGCATGTTCTACACTGTTTTTGCCTTGATGGCTATTTTCGTGGAGAAGACAGAAGCAGAAAAATGAAGAAACTATTTAGCAGATGTATAAGAAACTATTTAGCAGATGTATAAGAAACTATTTAGCAGATGTATAAGAAACTATTTAGCAGATGTATAAGAAACTATTTAGCAGATGTATAAGAAACTATTTAGCAGATGTATAAGAAACTATTTAGCAGATGTATAAGAAACTATTTAGCAGATGAATCAAGCAACCGAACTAATAAAGGATGTGGAGAAGAACAAAATACATAAACAGATATCGCGTAGTTTGCAAGTTTATGGAAGTCTGAATCTTGCGAGAAACCAAAAACCTATACTATCGAGCAGAGCGAGATAGTGGTGCAATACTCAGTAGCTTGTTAGAACGCTATCTCGCTCGATAGTGGAGTGCCACTGACTAGATAGTGTCAGTGGCAGTCAGTGCTGCTCCACTATCTCGCTCTGCTCGATAGTGTCGCTCGGTAGTGTCGTTCGATAGTGTCGCCCGATAGTGTCGCTCGGTAGTGTCGCTCGATAATGTCGAGAGATAGCACTGTAGTATTCTTATGGGCCTATAGCGGTAATGGTCCCGTACGACAAAGAGTCAGCGGGCGCTTATTGCCAGAAGAAAAAAAAAAGACCAACTAAGAAGAAAGTAGTTTGAACTAGAAGAAATAAACGAAACAAGATAGATTGATGAAGGGTCTAGATTCGGCCAAAGTTGTTTCAATGAGGCTACGATGTGGATTTCTGGTTAAAAGGCTTTATTCGACAAAGCCGTTTTATGTTACAACGCCGATTTTTTACGTGAATGCTGCTCCGCACATTGGTCATTTATATACCATGTTAATTGCAGATACGCAATGTAGGTGGCATAAACTTAACCCACAAAAGCATGCTTATATGCTTACAGGAACCGATGAACATGGACTTAAAATTCAGACAGTTGCAAGGCAGCAGGGAATTGACCCAAAAGTTCTAGTAGACAATGTCTCGGAGAACTTTAGAAGTTTATGCGCCGAGGCAAACATAAAGTATGATAGGTTTATCAGAACAACCGATGCCGATCATGTAGAATTGACGCAATTTTTTTGGAACTTGATGAAAGAAAAAGGGTACATTTACAAGGGGTCGCATAGCGGTTGGTATTGTGTAAGCGATGAGACATTTTACCCAGAAACAAGTATAGAAGAGGTGGAGAGAAATGGAAAAATGGTTAAAATCTCAATGGAATCAAAGAATGAAGTTATATATGAAGAAGAAACCAACTATTTTTTCAGGTTGTCATTGTTCCAAGATAAGTTGATTCGTTTTCTTAAGCAAAACCCAGATTTTATAAAACCAAGACATAGATACGATTTCATTTTAAATGAACTTATGAATAGTAAACTAGAAGACTTATCAATTTCAAGACCGGCAAGCAGATTGCAATGGAGTATTACTGTACCTGATGATGACACGCAAAAGATATATGTTTGGTTTGATGCCTTGCTAAACTACCTCACTGCAGCTGGGTTTCCAAAAGGTTTCAGTACCAAAAAGAACAGCAACAACAACAACAACAACAACAACAACAACAATAATAATGATCAGTTTGAAACCCCCGAGAACAACATATGGCCAGCAACTCATATTATTGGCAAGGACATAATAAGATTTCATTGTATATATTGGCCAATCTTTCTCATTGCTGCCGGTGTTGAATTACCCCGGCAAGTCATTGTGCACTCACATTGGCTCAGTGACGGTGTCAAAATGAGCAAAAGCTTGGGCAACGTAGTTAATCCACTGGATATTTTGGAATATTACGGCATTGATCCAGTTCGCTTTTTCTTTATGGAGAACTCAAACATCAATGACGACTGTAAATATAGTGACAATCTTTTAGATATGTCTCGAGACTCCTTGATAAAGAAATATTGCAACTTGCTTAGCAGAATGAGTTTTGCCAAGTTTAGTATCAAAGAGTCTGTTGAATTTTATCACAAGGGTGAATTTCAAGACATTGATAAGGAAATCACCAATGAGCTAGGGGGCGATATGGCACAACTTGTACAAGTTTTGGAATCTGACATGAACCTGTTATATTCTCGAATGGATGAGAAAATTTGTCAATTTGATTATATAAGGGCTGTACAACTATGGTGGCTGGTGATAAATCAGGCCAACTATCTCTTTCAAAATGCGCACCCATGGGTGTATGCTAAAGTTATTGAAGACCAAGATCAGCCAGAGGACATTAAAGAGAAATCAAGGAAATTGATGAACTACTTTACATTTGTTTGTTCCGAAACCATCAGAATAGCATCTATTTTAATTCAGCCGGTCATGCCTGAGTTGCTGACCAAGGTTTTGGACTGTTTGAGCGTTGATGAATATAGGAGGAATAGTGATTTTGCAAGATTTGGTGCAGACAAGAATTATGGCAAAGGGTCGAATTCGGGAAAGTTTAAAGCGCCGTTAGAGAAAAAAGTTGCCCACTAACAAGCTGCCATCGACACTATCGAGCAGAGCGAGATAGTGGAGCAACACTGACTAGCTTGTCACAACACTATCGAGCAAAGCGAGATAGTGGGGCAACACTTTGTAGCTTGTCACAACACTATCGAGCAGAGCGAGACAGTGGAACAATACTGACTAGCTTGTTACAGCACTGACTAGCTTGTCACAACACTATCGAGCAAAGCGAGATAGTGGAGCACAATTAAATATTAGTAATATATAATCAATATAGTTTACACATTGACTAGCTACCACCAACACCATCGAGTAGAGCGAAACTAACTTGCTACAACATTATCGAGCAGAGCAAGACAGCTTGCTACAACACCATCGAGTAGAGCGAAACTAACTTGCTACAACACTATCTCGCTATGCTCGATAGTGTTGTTTGTGTTGTGTCTTTTTTCAATGTCGCAACAAACATTTTAGTCAAAATGTTTTTTTAGGGCAGTGGATTCTACCCCCAGAGCGACACAGTCAAAGATTCGAGTTTGTTTAGGAAGAAATGGCTGCAAAAAAAAAAGGTTGCAAATGTTCATTGCTGCAAATGCAAAAAGACTCTTTGCTTTTTAAACTCAATATGGAAAAGCAAGAGTCAGTAAAGTATTTGCGCGGGTTTCAACCAAAAAATAAAACGTCATATATGAAAGAATTATCCTCTTGACACTATTATTGAAAGAAGAATAAATAAAGAAGGAATTACAAGGCATAGTGGTATATTAAACCTTTCTAACTGATGAAAAAACATTGTAAAATAATTAGAGTCCAACCACTGTATACAGATAAACCCACTGTTTTACCTTTCTCGTGTGGTTTCCAATAAGGTTTTGGAAAACGCGTGCGTATACCAAAACTTTTATGAACGCACTGATTTCAATTCTTGAGTGAGGCAAAAAAAAAAAAAAAAAAAAACAAGTAAAAAGGCTATAGAGTAATAGTAAAAGAGTTTACTATTGAATATTGTTTGAGGAGCCGAAATAGCTGAGGGGAATATATTGCCGAGGTGTTGATACAGCTGAGGAGAATATATTTGTTGAGGAGCTTATACTATCACAAGTGGTTGACTAGAAGAACTCGGATTTGGGCTTGAAGGTTAATTCTAGGCGCGCACATATATAAGTAGAAGCTTGAGAATTTTGACTAAGCTTAGCAGTTGGAGCTTAGCAGTTGGAGCTTAGCGGTTGGAGCTTAGCGATTAGAGCTTATCAATTGGAGCTTAACGGTTGAGAATTGACAGGCCGAGGGTAGTTTTCAGGTCTCAAACCCATTTATGTTCTATCCCCTTCTGCACTTAATACAAGGTAATTATGAGTCGCAGAATTAGAATTCCTGAGGACGACGATTCGCTCTCTAACCACAATGATGAGGATTTACCACCTAGAAGGTCCAACAAATCAGTTTCTTATAAGGAGGATGAGGATGAGGATGAGGAGGAGGAGGAGGAGGGCAATAGCAAAGCTGTCACACCACTAGCAAACGGAAACGGAAACGGAAACGGAAACGGAAATGGAGACAACTATGAAAGCGAAGACGCATTTGATCAAGATGCACTGGATAAAGCATCCTTGTCGGAAAAGGAGGACGATGGTGACGATTACTATGACGAAGACGATGATACAATTTCTCGGCCGAAACGGAAAAAGAGGAAAATCGGACCCAAAGGTAATGCAAGAGGAGGAACAGGAGGAAGAAAAGGAAGAAAAAGACAGCATGTAGATTCTGAAGACGAGGATTTCCACGATGACGATGATGACGGAGCGGGTGATGAGGAAGAAGATTCAGCATTCTCTGAAGAATACGAAGACGATGATTTCGTACAAAGGAAAAGACGCGACAACTTTATAGTGAAGGACGAGAACGAGTGGGACGACGATGATGACGTTGCCTACGGTAAGAAACCAAAAGGTAAAAGAGGTCGTAAGAGTAAAGCAAGATCGCGATCAGCAGAACCTAGAAGAACAACAAGATCAGGTAGGGTTTTGGAAGAAGACGATACCCTGAATACATTGGGCGATACTACCCGAGATGATGGAGAAGACGATGTGGACGATATCAAGAAAGAGATTGCCGACTTGTATGACTCTTCTCCAATTCACGAATCTGAACCTTCTCATCACAAACTTCGCCAAAGAACAAAAGTCGATTATACAATACCGCCACCAGTAAGCAATGACATGATGTTGGAGAGGCCCACGACTCCGTCAAGTGGCAAAGGTCGAAGAGGCAGACCAACAAGACAAAATGAATTTCGACAAATCTTGTACCCTACAGCTGGACCATTTGGTGGCAGCGACGTTATCTCATTATTTGGGACAAATATTCCACCAGGAGGCATTCCCCTACCAGGAATAACTAATACAAACAACTTGACTGCAATTGGACAGAATGTTAGCGATTCAGACAGTTCAGAAGACGAGATAATGCCTTTAAACGGGGAAGCAACTGTGAGCAAAAAAACTCCGAAAAAGGAGAAAGCAGATAGTTTATTGATCACTAGTGGTTCAGACGACAAGAAGAAAAATAAAAACAATTTGAGTGATACCGATCCACTAGGAGTAGACATGAATATAGACTTTTCCGTTGTTGGTGGTTTAGATAATTACATCAACCAGTTGAAAGAAATGGTTGCACTACCATTGCTATACCCAGAGCTATACCAAAATTTTGCAATAACTCCACCAAGAGGTGTTTTGTTTCATGGCCCTCCAGGTACGGGTAAAACGTTGATGGCAAGAGCTCTAGCTGCCAGCTACTCCACCTCGGAGAGGAAAATTACGTTTTTCATGAGAAAAGGAGCCGACTGTTTGAGTAAATGGGTTGGTGAAGCTGAAAGACAATTGAGGTTGTTGTTTGAAGAAGCGAAAAACCAGCAACCTTCCATAATATTTTTTGATGAAATTGATGGTTTGGCGCCTGTTAGATCTTCGAAGCAAGAGCAGATTCACGCCAGTATTGTTTCAACGTTGCTAGCATTGATGGACGGTATGGATAATAGAGGACAAGTGATTGTTATTGGAGCAACCAATAGACCAGATGCAATAGACCCTGCGTTGAGAAGACCCGGTAGATTCGACAGAGAGTTTTACTTTTCTTTACCTGACGTTGACTCAAGGAAGGAAATTTTGAAAATACATACAAAGAAATGGGTTCCTCCCCTTGAGGACAGTTTCATAGGCAAGTTGGCAGATCTCACAAAGGGGTATGGAGGTGCTGATTTGAGAGCGCTATGTACTGAAGCCGCATTGAACAGTATCCAAAGAAAATATCCACAAATTTATGAAACGAATGATAAGCTCGATGTCAACCCGACAAAGGTGAAAGTGATTGCAAAAGATTTTATGAGAGCCTTGGATAGGATTGTCCCTTCGAGTGCCAGGTCTACTTCTGGTGGTTCATCTCCACTTGCAGACCATTTAAAACCATTGTTACAGAATGAATTCGATGAAATTATAGCAAGATTAACCGACTTGCTTCCAGCATCAGTAAACAAAAATGGAAAACAGAAATTAACCGCATTGGAAGAAGCAAAATATCTTGATCCAACAATAAACGACCCCGATGGCGGTTTTGCAAAGCAACAGTTGTTAAAGAATTTGGAAAGTTCAAGAATATGCAGGCCTCATTTGTTAATTAGTGGACGTGAAGGAAACGGACAGCAATATCTTACTGCTGCCATATTGAACCATTTGGAAGGATTTCAAGTACAGTCATTAGACTTGGGGACAATTTTTGGCGATTCTACAAGAACGCCCGAGCTGTCAGTTGTCCATGCATTTATCGAAGCTAAAAGACATCAACCAGCAATAGTATTGATTCCCAATATAGACATATGGTTTGAAGTTTTACCAGGACCTGCTAGAGCTACGTTGTCCACTTTGCTAAGGAGTTTGAAAAGTAATGAGAAGATTCTATTGCTTGGTGTTGCGGAAACTTTGATAGAGCATATGGACCACGAGATTAAAGCGATTTTTGGGTTTGAAAGCCCTAGCAACAATTTAAGTTTACGAAATCCGACGCTATCTGAAAGAGACAATTACTTTGCAACTCTATGGAAGACCTTAGCAATGAAACCGTATGAGTTTGTCAATGATTTTCAAAATCGACCAAAAAGGAAACTAAAACAGTTGAAAGTTGTCGAGCTAGCAAAAAAGGACTCACAGTTGGAGCTCACGAAAAAAAAGATAAAAGAACAGGAGTACAATGATACTAAGCTAAAAAACGTATTGAAAATCAAGTTGGCTAGTTTAATGGACTTGTTCAAAGTGCGTTACAAGCGATTTAAAAAACCAATAGTTGACGAAAATTTGTTGCATCATTTGTTTGATCCATCAGTGTTGGACAATCCACTACACAATTATCAAGTTCTTTATGTGCGCTCTTCAGACGAGGGATGTACAAATATGATCAAGGAGCTATCAACGGGTAGAAATTACTACAACATGGATTTGGATACAATTGAAGAAAGATTGTGGAATGGATTTTATAGCGAACCAAAACAGTTTTTGAAGGATTTGAAGTTAATTTTGAAAGATAGTATAACATCGAATGACCGAGACCGGATTCTCAAAGCGAATGAAATGATCACAAATGCACAATTTGGTATTGACGATTTTGCCAATCGAGAGTTTCTCAAGGCTTGTAGAGAGGTTAGGGAGAGGGATTTGATGAAACAAAAGCAATTGTTGAAAGAACACGAAGAGTTAAAGGCAAGAGTGGAAGCGGAAAGACGAGTAAAGGAGAATGTTATAGTAGACAATACAATTGGCGTGGATGCAACAAATGGTACCATGCTACATGGTGTACCCGAGCCGATGGTTGTATCAGACGAGAAAATGAAACCGGAAACTATGCTTCAAAACGGCGATGTGGAAGGTACGAATATTGCGGCTGCTGCGGCAGCAGTGGTAACAAAGGAGGTTGAAAAAAATTTCGAAATCAATGGATGCGATGCAGTAGGAGAAGAACGTTCGACCAGAAATGCTATTGTAAAGGAACCGAAACCAGAAGCAGAAGCAGAACCGAAACCAGAAGCAGAACCAAAAGCAGAACCAAAAGCAGAACCAAAAGCAGAAGCAGAAGCAGAAGCGGAATTGGAGTCAGAGTCGGAAGCAGAAGATTTTGATATTGATCTTACAAAAGAAGTTATACTTGACAGTTCCAGAATAGATCATCTCAAAAACGAGATCTTGGCAATGACAGAGGATTATAATGTAGAAAAACTTGAAGTTGTGTTGGCTCGATTAATGGATGTGATTTGGAAGGACCGGAATCAATGGGACAAGTCTTGCACGCTAGACAACCTTCAAAAAACGATATCAGCCATAAAGTCTACACCATAATACTAGATAAAGCCTTATTCTTATTCTTATTCTTATTCTCATTCTTGACTGCCACCGACACTATCTCCACTATCTCGCTCTGCTTGATAGTGTTCTCTTGAGGTGAACTTGCCTCTACTAAATGTATCCAAAATATCTCTTCTCTAATCCTCTGCAGTTCCGTCTCTTGGTCTGTAATGAATATCCAACCCTTCTAAGGTATCAACTATATCCAACGGCAACCGTCCATTCACTTTAACCGCATATAGCCCCGGTACAAACCCGTCTATCCTTAGCCACCTCGCCACCCACGATCCTTTGCTATCTTGTCCTAAAGCCACTAGTCCTTCATACGAAGGGGAAGTACATTCTGCCACTTGAGAACTATCACCGCTAAAATGTAATAAAGACTCACAGTTGGGACACCCTTTAGTACGAAATGACTTCATCGACTGTATTATCCCGCATAGCATGCATGCTCTATCTGCCTTTGTCGACATTTCCGTGGTGGTGTAATAAATGAAAAACTTGGAGTAGTTTTCCTATTGGGGTTTTTTATTTTTTTTTTTTTTCACTTTGTTTTTGTATGGACCTTTCCTCATCATCAGAGTTAAGTAAGGAGATGATATTACGAAATACTAGGGTAGTGGCGCCTATTATTAGAGTACGACTATTGCAGGTTCCAAGAGTGCGGCAGCTATCATTTGACCACAATGCAATTATTACGACATTCACTGAATCTTTTCAAACTATACATGAATATTCGAATTTGCCCTGGTGGGCGCTTATTCCAATAACTACATTTGTTTTGAGATCCGTATGGACATTACCCTTGGCTATTATGCAAAGGAAAAGGATCCAGAAACAAAGCTCATTGAAGCCGCTCATTAGCGCCCTTGGTCCTATACTCAAGATGAATCTTGCAAAAAGAGTTCAAAAAGCCAAAACCCAAGTGGAAAAAGTAGATAAAGCAGGTATGGATTACTCGCAAGTTACACAAGCGCCATTGGCCAATATGACATATGAGCAAATATTGCTACTATCTACTAAAGAAGTTAGGAAGCGTCAAAAACAATTGTTCAAGAAACACGGTGTAGAGCTTTGGAAGAATTTCATCCTTCCAACGTTCCAAATCCCACTTTGGATTATTATGTCTTTGACTATGAGAGACTTGAGTGGCTGGTCATCCTGGGACAATGTACACAACAAGGCACTTGATTCAAGTTTGTATACAGAAGGATGTCTCTGGTTCCAGGATCTAACCGTTGCCGACACGCTACATGTATTTCCCGTGATTTTGGGACTAATTACTTTGTGTAATATCGAATGGACTTTCAAGACCTTGGAACTCTCAAGGTTGGTGCGGCGTGTGAAATATAGGCCAACTTTAACTGATGCCGTGGCTAATTTTGCGAGATTATCGATAGTTTTCATGATGGCCATATCGATTCACGCACCTTCTGCATTGACTTTGTACTGGTTGAGCTCGCAGTTGTATTCACTAGTACAGAATATTGTACTAGATTTGAGGTTTCCCATCTCCTATACTCCGAAAAAAAGGTTTAATTGGAAGAAAACGGCAAACGATGAATAAAAAAGAAGAAACCAAGGAGGGGGGCGAGGGGGGGGGTTCATTCATTGAAGCAAGTTGGAGTTGTTGTAAATTCTTGTATAAATTGAGTAGTTCGAATTATAGTGGTTTAATTAATTTGTCTCATCTCATCTCATCTCATCTCATCTCTATCAGTAGATTTCTCGCGATATAAAACGAATTGAGCTGAGTTGAGATTTAAGTGCGCTTTAATTGAATAAGCCCTCAAATGAGTATTGAATTCATCAAAAGAGCAAACGAGAAGCTATATAACAAGATAACTAAGGAGTTATCTGAACAAACTTTGAGAAAGTATGACGATAATACCAAGACTTTTGAAGAATTAGACCATTGGAAAGAGAAGGATCTACCTTGCTTGCTCAAGAAACGATACCAAGGTTCAGAAGAGGTGACAACATATTTGACTAAAAGTGAATTGATCAATTTAATGGATTGGAAATTGAACAAGGGCACCTTTAGACCATCGCTACCAAAGTTGATCAAGTCAAATGACGAGGAGGCTGTAAAGAAAGTTACTGAAAACGGCTATAAAATCATTATTGACTATTTCAAGTCATTACCTCGCGACTTTTGGTCGAGTGAGACTACAATCGAAGCTCAGCAAACTTATTCAAAGACAATCCGTACTGCGTTTAAGAAGTTATGCGAGTTGAGAGGTGTTGGGCCTGCAACGGCAAGTCTTGTTCTCAATTGTTTAACTGGAATCTACCCAAACCTCACACCGCCATTTTTCAGCGATGAAAGCTTTATTTATTATGTGATTGATCCATCAAGACCAGACACAAAGATTAAGTATAGTGTCAAAGAATATGCAGATGAGTTGCTACCGGTATATTTCGACTTAATGAGGCAAATTCCAGATTACACATTGCACGATTTGGAGAAAGGCGCTTGGTCGTTGAAGTATTATGACATGTATCGTGACGATAAACTTATAAACGTGGCTAATCCTTTTGACAAAAAGGATGAGGGATGGAATAAATTCGAAAAGAAGATCTCCTCTTCTCAGACCAACCTGAGTCGAAAAGGAAATGCTTCTAATTCAAAAGATGAAATAGACCCACCTAAAAAGAAAAGAAAAGATGAGGTAGACCACTCACCTAAAAAGAAAAGAAAAGTCAAGTAAACCAAACCAAATACATGTTGAGACTCATAAACACTAGTGGAGGCTAGTAGAGTCAATTAATAATGGAGTGAGAGTCGGCGGAGAACCTAGCGATAATATAGGAATACGACACCTGCGTCCTCTTCGACTCCGCTAGCCTAAGTTCCTACTCTCATTTTGTTTTTAATGATCATCGTTATTCAATTATGTTCCTATTATTTATTTTTTTCGCACCCATAAGCTCATCTCTAGAATATTATACCCTTTTTCCAACAGTTTCAATATAATCCAATAGATATGCTTTTGAGTTATATGAAGAGCAGCAGAGGTCTTCAATTGATGTATAGTGCTACTGGTACTAGATTACTAACCACATACAGCAAGAATCCCCAGATCTATATCCATGAGAATCCTCCCAAGCATTATAATTTTTCACTCTCAAAGAAGCCAAATTCCATAGTGATAGGCTCATCACAATCCATGGACCCGAAGCCATCCACTTTTTATACGAATCCCAAATTCCAGTCAATTTTACAAATGACAATGAAGAAGAAAATCTATGATGATTTTACTTTTATTATGGAGGCAGGAACAAATGCCAATTCGTACATGCCCATCTACGATTTCAGAGAAATCCCAAGATACTCAAGAACCCCTTATATTGGAGATGTTTTTGGATATGTACAAATTGACAATGAGGGGAAAATGATTCCTCAAAGCTGGCAAAAGAATGATATGTATGAGGTATGCAGTGGCAAGACGGGGTTATGCAAATTTAGTGAATTCATGTATGAAACATTACGAGAGGAATGCGAAAGGGACAGAGAAAATTAAAGTATCAAAAACCAAAAGAAAGGGGATTTCTACCTACTTGTATTATTATCTCTTTTTCTTTATTAGTCACAAAGGATTTTTTTAACGAATTTGATTACATCCTCCAACTCCTCTTCACTAGCACCGTGAGAAACTCTGCTGTATCCGTGAAATTCCAAGTTTTTGAAGCCCAATTTGTTCTTGTAATAGGTACAAGTCTTTTCTCCAAATCGATAAGAGATCATAGAATCAGCCTTACCGTGACCTTGGAAAATTGGCGTCTCGTAATTGACATGCTTGACCAAATGTTTCTTTTCCAATTCCTGAGCAACTGCAGGTGTTATAAATCCAGATAATGCAATAACACCACCGATTTTGTAATCCAATAAGGCTAAAGTAGCTAATGCGATTGCTGCACCTTGACTGAATCCTCCAATAATAATTTTTTCAGCAGGAATGTGTTGACGATTGATTTGATCATCAACCAAAGCCTTCAAAACGGTGGTACAAGTCTTGAAGAAACCTGCCACGTCCTGTTCTGCATTTGGATTCCCAAATTCATATATATCAAACCATGCAGGTAGTAGCATACCATTATTGACAGTAATATTAAGCTGCGGCGCATCGGGGAATATAAAACAAGTTGAATTTCCAACTTCTGCTGGTATTAATCGAGATTGGCGGATCACCCGAGATAAAAAGCTCCATCCTTCCCCGGTGTCTCCAAGACCATGTAAGAAAATAAGACAAGCTTTGGGTGGCAATTTTGCTGGGACTCTAATTCCTGGTACGACTGTCATATCTAACTCTGGTTCAGGAAGTGATTGTGGAATGAGCTTTGATTAATAAAATGATTGTGGAATGAGCTTTAAATACTTGAATTGTTAGGGAATGAGGTTTAATTAAATAAATGATCAGGGAATGAGCTTTAATTAAACGATTACAGAATGAGTTTCAATTAATTAGACAATTACGGAATGAGTTTCAATTAATTACGGAATGAGTTTCAACTAATTACGGAATGAGCTTCAATTCACTAAACGATTAGGGAGTGAGCTTCAATTAATGAGCTTTAATTAATTGTTAAACGATTGTTCATTTTTTTTTTTGAACGTGCAAAGTACATGATGAGCTACCAAATGTCATGCAAGGAGACGAGTCCCCTTCAACTAGGAAGTCTACTAGGGAGTCTATTTAAACCAGGAAGTCTACTAGGGAGTTTACCAGGAAGTCCACCTCTATCATCAATTTGATGGTTTTGATTGTTTTTTGAGGTGTTGGATTATTTTCTAGCAGTTTGTCTGCCACTATCGAGCAGAGCGAGATAGTGGAGCACACTAGCTGCTACAGACACTATCGACACTACAGATTAGGTGTCGATTTTCAGTATTCTTTCTCACTATATATGCAAATGAATCTTGAGTTCTATAAGTTGAGATACTGTAGTAATTTGGGTTTTAGTAACTGAGTTGTAAAGGTAACACTCATTTCTTGCTTTGCTAGCAACTCAATCGTTTCAATGAATCTGCACGTAAGAAACTGTTTCTTGATAAAGAGCACACTATCAAGCAAAGCGAGATAATGGAGCATTGACTAGTGACATAGTGTTTAAAAACAAGTTAATCAAGAATGGGCTACAGTGCTGCTATCAAGTTATACAATTATTGCACACCACTTTACTACTTTCTTTCGACTAGTCTCTAAGCCAAAAAAAAAAAAAAAAAAAAAACAATACATAACCACAGTATGATCGAACTAAACTGCAGAGGATGGCATCCTTACCAAGGAACTACATTATCGGGCCTCAAAAGGCCCTCCCTGTTATCATAGAAAAGCTTATTATCAGGTTAGAGGTACTTTTAGTCTAGATAAGCAAATTTGAGCAAACATTTTGGTTAATAACACTATTGTTTATTGTAGCCTGTTTTCTCATAACCATTCACCACATTTACACTATTTATTTTAATAGACTATCTTTATAGACTGTCAAGCAGAACGAGATAATCTGCATCTGCTCTCTCTATAGGCTATCGAGCAAAGTGAGACAGTTTGCATCTGCTCTCTCTATAGGCTATCGAGCAAAGTGAGACAGTTTGCATCTGCTCTCTCTATAGACTATAGAGCAAAGTGAGATAGTCTACATCTGCTCTCTATCTACTCTCTCTATCTACTCTTTCTATAGACTATCTCGCTTTGCTCGATAGTCTACATCTGCTTTGCTCGATAGTCTACATCTGCTTTGCTCGATAGTCTACATCTGCTTTGCTCAATAGTCTACATCAATTGAAATATGCTTTTTTTGAGTAGAGGGCTTTTTTTCAGTAACGTGCCCATTAAGTTGTAACGCAAATCTATGCTATTAAAACTCACACAATTAAATTTTCAACATACGGAAAATTAAAGGGTTACAAGTCCTTACTCATCAATACGAAAGTTTAATAAGCTAGGGTTTCAGTGTGTTTTAAGATTTCAGTAGGTTTTCTTTTTCCCATTTTCTTCTTTTTCATTTTTTCTTGGGAAAGTTTCTGGTCTATCAAAAAGAGGGTCACTTGAAAAAGTTTAGACCACTCTTAAGGTTAGACTACCCAACCCAACCCAACTCCCCCCTCCTCCCCTATGGCGAGTGGGAAATGTTAAAGCTTGCATTATTTTAATCATTGCGCATTGAATATCTCTAGAGTAAAGGCAATGTGGTACTGACTAAACTACCAAATTCTCGCCTCATTCTTTCTCCCCCCCCCCTCCTTAACCAATTGACCCTTTGACAAAAAAAAAATAAAGGCCCTTTTTTTTTCTTTAAAGTTTATCTGATGATATTCACAATTAATTACAAAACAACTTGAAATCAAATCCAATAAGTTAGCCATATTGTTCATGCAGGATCTTAGCCAAAACTGACAAAGCACACCACATAAGAAGGTCCACATAAGATGGACTGAAACTCTCTTATTTATTTTTTTATTTCAATATTTTTTTTATTGTGGTTTGAGTTGCATACGGCTGATGACTTTGCAGATCGTCAATCAAGACGATTCTTTTTTTTTTTTTGGTAACAAATATCAACATTTTTAGCATTAAGAAAAACCTAATTTTTCAACTAAAATAATTGCAATTGCACAATAGCCGATGGGTACAAACCAAAAAAAGAGACATGGGGGAAAAGGGAATATGGTGCAGGAGTTGTTTATCTATTGTAGGTATATCTATCCGTGCGCCATATCCTTATCTCACTGCAACTTACTGTGTAGAAATATTAATTGTTACCCATAGTTTTTTTGTTTTTTTTTCTTTCATTTATTTATTTTTTTACTTTTTTATTTATTTTTATTTTTCAATCCTTCAAGTATCGAATGGTCAACCAAAGTATTAGTATTATTATCTACAACAAGCACCAGTTTTTCCAGTTTTTCTTAACTACAGAGTGAGGGTCACACAAGACACATAAAGAGTAAGGCCGTTTTTCCTACTTGGTGATACCAACAAACAACTTGTACATGATAAATTATTTTTTTTGATGGGTTTAAAATTTTAATGAGGATGCAATCAAATCCTTTGTACAAAAAAGAAAGAAAACTGGGAATTAGGTTTTTTTTTGGGATTTGAATGACTAAATTAAAGTCCAGCCCTCTCTCTCTTTTATTCGTTTTTTTTAAGAATATTTAAGCTCTGCAGTTTCACTAACTTCTATCGATAGTTTGTATTACATACCTGTTTTATCAAACGCAACAAAAAGTACCACTAAAATATATTTGGTCAAACATGAAAGTAGAAAAAGGTTTAATCAGCTTACTCATTCGTGGGTTCCAGGGTGTTTTTGCAATTGTTTCATTAGGATTAGCAGCAACGTACTTGTCTGGTGTTGGTTTCAACGTTGATACGATATCATTTATTGTAGCAACCTCGGTATTAACTTTACTTTATTTGGGTTATATTCTAGTTGTTGTCCCCAGAGGAATAAATGGACAATCACCTTCGCTAGTCATATTGATTGGTGATACAATATTTTTGATTTTTTACTTGGCTGCTTGGGCGGCAATTGCAAGTGCTTTCCCAACAACTTGCAATTTTCCCATTCCTTTCTATTATAGCAGTAGGTACACGCTGTCAACATGCCGTGCGGCACAAGCTTTACTTCCATTCACTTTATTCAATTGGGTTTTATTCGTTGCTAGTTTGGTGTTATTCCTTATCTACAGCTATATTCCTGAAGTTAAAAACCTTGGTTTCAAAAACGGGGTCAAATTCTCTGAATATTACTGGGGTTGCATATATCCAAGTGTAGATGGTGAAGCTAGGAAAAAATGGTTTGGTACTTGGTGTTCAAAAAGTACAGCAGCAGCAGGAACAACCGTTGAAGAAAGTGAAGCCGCACATGACGATGAGCAAATATCAAGCTGTGAAGACAAAGGAACCACAGCTAATGACGACGAAGCTAATGTTGGTATAACGTCAAAGGATAATGATGTTCAAGTTGATACTGCACCTTCTGATAAAGCACCTTCAACAGACGAAGCAAACGCAAAATAGAGATCTTTTGCTAAGATTTAATTCAAATTCAAATATAGTACTCCACTTAAATCAAGCCGTGATAAGGCCACTTAATCCCACCGTTTAATTCACCATATATAAACTAGGCTTTATGCTTTTTCTTCTTTACTGTGCTCTGCTCTGCTCTACTCTGCTTTTTTTTTTTTTTTTTTTTTTTTTTTTTTTTTTTTTTTTTTTTTTTTTTTNTTCTCTTTTCTTTTTTTTTCTTTTTTTTTTTTTTTTTTTTTTTTTTCTTTTCTTTCTTTTTTTTTTGCAATCGTTTCCATTTTAGGTAATCTGCAACTTGTAAGGCCAAGTTTACCAAAAGCCTCAAGTACTTAGATGAGACGAGAGGTAATACTGTAGCACCGACTTCTTAAATTGTAGCTACCAGGTGCTTGCACAATAATCTCAACAGAGGAGTAACTTGTCAAAAAGTAGTCTAGGAAGAATTAAAGAACTGAACAAGAGGTGAGGAAGAGTTAAAGAACTGAACAAGAGGTGAGGAAGAATTAAAGAGCTGAACAAGAGGTGAAGAAGAATTAAAGAGCTGAACAAGAGGTGAAGAAGAATTAAAGAGCTGAACAAGAGGTGAAGAAGAATTAAAGAACTGAACAAGAGGTGGGGAAGAACTGAATTAAAAGAAAATTGAAGCAGAAATAAAAAAGAATTAAACAAGAGAAGAATAGTGAGTTGATCAGTTGACGATGGGTTTCAAAGTACAAACAAAAGAGTATTTGACTCAGATTTACTTATAGCTGTTGATGTATGTGTATATATGTGGAGAAAATCTCTGTTACAATTTTGACATTGTAATACAAACAGGGACTACTCCACCCTTCAACAAGCTTTCTTCCAAATGTAATCACAGTTGTAAGAAAGCTTGCTGAAATAAAATTGAAGCCGGGTAAATCTTTTTTACAACCATTTTTACAACCAATTTTATCACCAAGTTATTTTTTTTTACAACCAAATTATAATCCACCAGCATTCTTTTCACTCCAACTCTAATAAAAAGACAACTCTAAGGGTTATTCTTGTATCTCTTCTATTAAAAAGTTCATTTACAAGTTTCTACAAATCAATTATAATTATATACCAACTCTTTTTGCAAAAAAATATAACCAAAAATGGTAAATGTACAAGAGATTATTAGTATCATAATTCGAGTACTTGAAACAATTCTTGCAATTATTGCATTGGGGTTAGCTGGAGGGTTTACAGCTGACATTTCACTTGGTAGAGTCATCTTTACAATAGTTACCGCAGCTGAGAGTTTGGTTTATCTTGGATATGTTGAATTCTTGGTGCCTGTTGCTTTCAAAGGAAAAAACATTTCAACGTTAGTTTTCTGTTGTGAAGTGTTAAATACGCTTCTATATTTGGTTTCGTGGGCCATAATTGCAGGCGATTTCCCACTGGATTGCAATAATTCTTCTTGGGGGAAATCAAATTGTCAAATCTACCAGGCAATTTTACCATTCACACTTTTGAACTGGTTGTTATTCAGTATAAGTTTTGGTTTATTTCTTGGATTTAGCTATATTCCAGAAATCCAAAGGTTTAGTGGAGCTCACACATTAAAACCTACAAAATATTATTGGGGTTCCATATTTATAGACTTGCCTTCAGTTGCACGTCAGTGCTGTGGTTTACTCTTGTACCAAGCAAATGTTGACAAAAACGCACTTGGAGAAGACCCACATAAGAGCTCGACTGTTAGTGCCACAAGTCCACGCGATCAAGAAGCTAATGCAGGTATTATTAGAGATGCAGATGATCCACCAGCAGAGACTGCCAGTTCAAAAGATGCGGTTACTGCTGGTACTAATACTAGATGAATGAACTGAGCTCAGTTGCAAACTTTTGATTTCTTGACCAGTTTAATAGCTAATTATAATGGGTAGAGAAGCTGTGTGTGTGTGTGTACTTTTTGCTATATATGTGTTGGGTCATAAGTTAAGTTGTTAAAGTATGCAAGTTTGGACTGTTTTTGCAGCCAAAAAAAAAAATGTAAGGGAAAACAAAAAAAGAAAAAAAAAAAAGAAATATTTATACTATAGGGCAAGCAAATATGAAGAAAAACCATTGTTGTAAGGGAAACTATTGAAAATCTAAAATCCCAAGCAACTTGGAATTAAAGTATTTATAAGAAGAGCAAAGCTAATTTATCGCCTCAATTGTGCTGTGTTGTGTTTTTTTTTTCCCTCTCTTATCGACTACTCCAGTAAATGACTTCTACTACCCCACATATAATGATCTATTGCTAATCAATACTTTTCTAGAACAAATCCCTTATGGATTGAAAAACAAGGTTTGAACGGTCATTTTTATCCTCTTCTCTTTATTACACACCTCCATACATTACTATACTCTCTTGCTCCACTACCTTGCTTTCGACTCGCTAGTGTCGCAAAAGATGATATTATACATGTGTGCTGACACTAGCAAGCAAAGCGAGATAGTACAGCAACACTTAGTAGACACTATCTCGCTCTGCTCGATAGTGACGATAGTATCGGTGGCAGCTAGTGTCGCACTATCCACTTTCAGTGATTTTCTTGCCTTTACTATTCTAGCTTGGAAAAAGGTTTATTTTTCACCTTCTTTTTTCACATTTTTTCTTTACTTGATTTTTGAGAAAATATTAATTAAAAAAAATTTACCAAAAGAGTAATAGAATTCCGTCGAGTTTACAGTGGACCTTTTTGGGAACAAAATTGAAATTTTTCAAAATTTGAAATATTTTCATGTTATTTTAAATACATTTTAACACTTTTTCTCCGAGGTATATTGTACCAACTATTTTTTTTTTCTTTTTCATCTCATCTCATCTCCTTATTACTTTAAATTTTCCTTTTTGCAACTTGGCCATTTTCGGCGAACAGATGCAGATACTCAAAGAAAGAGATGCTTTTCTATCCAATTTTGAGGTTGAACAACATCTCAATAATATAAAACAGAAATATAACTGGACTTTTACAGAAGAAGATGAGTTAGAGCTAGAGCATCGTATAGATAAGGATAACACCGAAGATCATGGATTGCATAAACGAAACAATCACAAGCAAAAACACAGATTCACTGAATGTGGTATAGGGCTAGAGATAATAACTAGGGATGTGCTAGCATTAATGAGAAATAACAGTGCGTGTGGTGATATGACGGTTGACAAGTTCGAGGAATTGATGCAATATTTAAATCAATTTGAATTGATGAAGATTGAAAAACTACAGATAATTAATCAGTTGCCGAAAACTATGCCTGTTTTGTATGCCATAGTAGAGGAATGCGAGGAAAGGTTTGGAAGCGACGTTCCTGAAGAGATTTTGAGTAAGATTATGGAACTATTCCCCTCTGAGGAGGACGAGGACGAGGATGATGAGGATGAGGATAATAATGAAAAAGAAGAAGGAGTAGATGAGAGGGGCGAGGACGAGGGCGAGGACGAGGAAATGATCGAGGAGGAGGAGGAGGAGGAGGAGAGAAACTCATAGGAAAGTTAATGATAATAATGATAATATCTACATTCGAAAAATCTAAGTTGTTTGTTATTCTACTATAATCTCCGTGGGTTCGCCCCCCACTGCCACCTCCACACCCGCCAAGTTTCACATGAAATTACCGATAATTCCTTTAGTTAACCCTAAATCACTGGAGTCGTCAATCTCAGTGTTTTCTTTTTCAATCGCTTTGTCATTTCTTGATACTCCCGACGATAGGGTGCCGTTATCGTTGTCATCTTCTTCGTTATATCTAGATGAACTCAGTACGTATGGCACAGGGATCTGCCCAAGCAACGGCAAACTCGGAGGGTTTATGCTATAATTGTATAGCTGATTTCCAAAATCTCCAACCATTGCAGTGATTTCTCCAATTAACCCAGTCACTCCCAATGCAAATACACTTTCAGCATTATCATTTGAGTTAATCCATGACGCATTTAAGTTCAATTCTTCTTCTGAAATCGTGTTTTCGTCAATTTCATTATTTTCCTTTGTCATCAAATCTCTCGAAAGAAGTCTAGATAATCCTAAATCTTCATCCAAGGAGTCACATACTCCGAGCGAGGAGCTAAAAGGACGTGATAACTGATTCTCCTCCTCCTCCTCCTCTCGTGCTTTTTGACCAAAATGATTTTCAACAAGATGATGAATTACAGGCCATCCGTATGCATTGGCGAATCTTCTACGTACAATAATGTTATTATGTGCATCAGGTTTTAGCTTTACTACTACCTTTCTCCAGCTCATATTTTTATGGTATTCTCGAGCAATATCTTCCTCAATAGTTTCAAGATTAGTATAATCTATCTTCTGAATAATCTTCCTCCTTAGTAAGGATGAAGGTCCACCACTAGTCTCATTAAGCGCGGCTTCACGCCGTTTTGGGGGTAAATCTTTTTCATAGTAGACCTTGTCATGTACAATAACATTTTCTCTAGATGATGGATCAGCTATATACTTCATTGATGGCATTGGTGGAAGAAATAGTGACGCTGCACTATCTATAAATGTAGTGTTTGGTATCCCGTCTACTTCTTTCTTTATGGCCATTCCTTCTTCTCCCTCTTCTTCCTTTCCTTCTTTTTCTGTATTCTCCCCTTCTTCTTGAGTTTGAAAGTTTTTGAATTTCTCGTTTGAGTTTTGCTTCTGAGGCATGAAATATGATAAAAATGTTTGTACAGCCAGAAAGCCATTTACATTATCAACTGATTTCGGTATCTTATCTGTCTTGTCACCATTTTCTAATTCGCTGGAGTTGATTAATGAAGCCAATCCTTTGTAGTCAAGATACAAAAGACACGAAGTTCGTAAAGGTACTATTCCATCATTTACCGCATTGGCATAAACGGTTCGTCTACGAAACTGTTTTAAGGTTTTATGAGTTAATCCAGTCGGGAGCAACAATAGTAACGGCTTTGAGTTATTTTCCAATATTTTCAACCCCAATTCTTGCCCTGTTTTGCCAACAAAACCAGCACTTAACGCCATCTTGACATACAATGGATTTTCATTGACAACTCCCAACAATGGTGATGATATGGTAACAAAGTTGATTGGTGCAATTTTTTCAAAAAACCAAGGGAAATTCAGGCGAAGGTAAGCAATGGCAAAAGTTTGCACACAACCACCCAATGAATGACCAATAAACGATATTTTTGTAACTTGGTCATTATTCAACATTTTATCTTCAGTGACGAGTTTTACAACATATTCGGCAACTCGGCTTCCCAAGTATTTGATTCCTCGTTCCGTTTTGCCAATATTTCCAAAGAATGATTTTACCACTACTTGTTCATTTTCATTCGCCTGTGACTGTGGCTCTACTATTGCGTCAATCTGTTCTTTCAAGTACAACATATCAACACTGCTATTCGAATGCAAGCCATGGGTCAAAATCACAAGATGCTTCAGCTTAATAGGTTGCAACACTGGTATATTCCATAAATCCTGAGTATCCCATTCGGTTACATGCAACAATGGACAGAAAGTGCCTAGTTTATCTGTATTGGACATCTGTTCTTCAAATATGGAGGGGGTTTGGTGCAACACCAGTTTTGAAGTGCCAATGGTAATTTCAAAATTTATAGCTATAGTGTTGTTGAAGATAATCTGCGAAACAACGTCGATGATCCATGAGTAATCCTTCTTCAAGGTATGACACGATAGCTGGATGTAGAATGATTGTCCAGGTAGTAGTTGTGGTTCAAACACGGGCTGGTCAGCCGTGACAAAGTAAGTCACATTCGGGTCATAGTCCAGCAATCGACAATCGACATACAAGATGTATGGTCCAGCAAGATAAATAGCCCTTTTCGACACGGGCTCGGTGTTTTTGATCTTGACCCACAAGGTTGGAGGAATTACCACTTCGTCGCCTTCAGCATGTTGGCTAAATTGAATCTTAAACCGTTCGAGTTGGCCTGCTTTAACCGATTTAATTTGTCGGTATAAGATCTTGTGGCGCATGTTATCTAATTGATGTTTGCTCATCGCAAAGGGAACACCGGCGAGTAAATCATCCTTCATAGAAACCTCCTTTATCTCGCAATTCGCCATTTTCTCTCCTTTGCAATATCTGCCACATTGAATATATATAATTTGCCACACAATTTATTAGGCCTTCTACAGAAAGAGATGACAGCTGTCAAGTCTTCTTAGACGGTACAGAGGTGTGTCACGTGATCAAGCAGAAGGACACTAAACGACACTAGCGATACTATCGATACTTAGTAGCCAGCACTTAGTAGCGACACTATCGATACTTAGTGGCCAGCACTTTGTAGCGACACTATCAACACTTAGTAGCCAGCACTTTGTAGCGACACTATCAACACTTAGTAGCCAGCACTTTGTAGCGACACTATCAACACTTAGTAGCCAGCACTTTGTAGCGACACTATCGACACTTAGTGACACTAGCTCGCTTTGCTTGCTAATGTCCAACGCGTGGTCAACAAAAAAAAAAGGGTGGGCCTAGATGTGCATCGGTAATATCATGTGACAAGAATATATATATATATATATATATTTTTTTTTAATTCTAAAAAGCAACATGGGCAGATGCTATAAACGTATCACGTGATCTACAAGAGAGATCATATACTTATTTGGGACATCACGTGATTAACAGCCACGAGGGAGGTGGTGGTGCTTTTTCTTTTTTTTTTTGGGGCGGGCGCGTATGAGCAGAAGATGAATGATGGATGAGCGTGTCACGTGGTAGTACCGGCATTGGTTTTTTTTTTTTTTCCTTCCCCCCCGCCCCCCCTCTGCTGGCGAGTAAAGATCAATGTAAAAGAACTGGGACTGGGACTGGAACCAAAGGAGAAGAGATTGAGCTTAGGGCAGGGCAGGGTAGAGTAGAATAAGTAAGTAAGCAAAAGAGATGAGTGAGGAGCATTTGAGAGAGTCGATAAATGACGTACATCCCGTTGAATTGACGGCCCACACTGTGTTAAGTGGACCCTTGGATAGTTTAAATGCGAGTCTTGCGCTGCTAGATGAATCACAAATGGAACTACTAACAAAATTAAAACTTCTTGAAGATAGATTGACCACGTTTAAGAAACTCACAGAGTCTAATTTTGTTGATGAAAAACAATTGAGTGCACATTCAAACAAGGTAAAAGAGTTTTCCAAACGACTATCTGTGATTTTAAAGCAGTTGGATAAATTGGAAGCAAGAGTCGATAAACTAGCAGGATGAATACTTTTGTCTCTCTTCTTTTTTTTTGTATCTGTATCTATTTGTATTTAAAAAAATCTAATAAACCTATATGGGAACCCAGCAGTTTTCAACCCAAAGAAGGATAAAAGAAGACTGAATAGAATAAAAATCAAACCACATACGATTGCAACCAAGACCAAGTTGATTGAAGGGGTTTTGATTTCCGGTGCTTTTTTAACCAATATAACCACCAATATACTTAGAACGCCATAAACAAATGAGATGATCTGGGTCTCAATTCCTAGTTGGTTTTGTTGCGCGCGCATAAAATATTCAATCTTACCATCAGCATGGTCAATGATATACGGTGTATGTCTGATTTTGTTGAACATGAATCCCGTGGTAAATAATAATACCGCTAACAAGGAAAACACGCCCCAAGTAATTTTGGAAGCCAATATTTTACCAATTTGTTTACGGAACTTTTTCAACAAAATTGTCGTGAAGAAGGCCACAAACATGTTGAAAATTACCCTGTTCTTATTTATAGGTATATGTAGATTGAAACGATGCCCTGTCATTTCCTGTACCCAGCTCATCATTAAACCCTTCTGGTCACCTTGGAAAAATTGATACTCTTTCTTTTCTCTGAGAAAATTGTTTGGTCCCAAAGCCTTGGTTGGTCTGAAATGGAAAATCTTGGGAATATTGTTCATTTGGAATAATTGGAAAAGCTTCTTGGAGTCAACAAAGTCCGACTTGAAAAAGTAGACATTTTTCAGTTGCTCACTTTCATCCAGCTCAACGACACCATTGGGGTGGTCCTTAACCCAGGAGTTAGCAATGAGTTGAATTTCCGGTGCAATATCTCTACACAAAACACAATTGATTTGCGGCGCATCCGTAGTGAAGAATACAATGATATGGTAATCTCTTTGCCCATTCAAGATATTCTCATAGTTCTCATCATTCAACGGTAAAAGCTTTCCCTTGGACTTTTTGACTGCTTGAAACAATTGGTCATTGCTTAGGGCACAGTTTACCAAGGTATATAGAAACGCAAAGACGAAAGCAACAGATACCTTCATCTTTTTGGAATCCTTTTTGGGTGTAAAAAGAAATAAAAGAGATGTTACCAGTGATTTGGTGAAAAATTAAAAATTTAATGCCACATGTTTTTCGCGGAAACGAAGATTTATTGCCGCGCTTCCCTATTGTTCACCCACCGTGTTTGAGCTACAGTTTTGAAGAAGATGTAAAGAGATATACAATGTATTTTGTATTAGATTTCTAGTTTTCTGATTGCTCCGAGCGAAGCAAAATAGTGGAGAAATACTACTATCGAGCAGACCGAGATAGTGGAGAAACACTACTAGCTCTCTTTGCTCGCTAGTGTCGGCAACACTAGCTGCCACTGACACCAAAGGCTTCTCCACTAGCTCTCTTTGCTCGCTAGTGTCGGCAACACTAGCTGCCACTGACACCAAAGGCTTCTCCACTAGCTCTCTTTGCTCGCTAGTGTCGGTAGCTTTATGCTCCTGCTACTGTTCCTCTGTTATCGAGTCAGGCACCTGAGATATTTCAGATATCTCCTCCGTAAACCAGTCATGATTCAACGTTTCGTCAATGTCAAACCTTCTATCTGGATCCACCTGTAACAAATTGGTAATCAAATCCAAAACCGTATCTTCAATATCATCAAAAAATGGTGAATAAAATGCAAATTTTCCTTGGAGTATTTGTTCCTTCATGTTTGGTGGAGCCAACTCGTCACTGAAGGGGGGAAACCCACAAAGACAGACGTATAATAGTACGCCACTTGACCACAAATCAACCTTTTTTGAATACCTCCCCTTCGCCTCAAGTCTTAGGATCTCTGGCGCCACGTATGCTGGTGTGCCGCATAGCGTGTTTGTGAATTTCAATTCTCCAATAAACTTGGCTAAACCAAAATCGGCAATTTTGACTCGAACATCCAATTCCTGTGCATCCCATGGTCCTAATTGTTTTTGCGCGGGGCTCGAACGCGGTATAATATCCAAGAGAATATTCTCCGGCTTGATGTCTCGATGTATAATATCTCGGTCATGCAAATACTTCAACCCTGATAGTAGTTGTCTGAAAATGGCTCTTGTTTCATCACTTGCTAGTTTTGTCTTGTTTATTATTCGTTGGAATAGTTCTCCACTATTCATCTTTTCCAAAACAAGATACGTATTTACAGATTGGGTCAGGTTTGGCTCAATGTAGTGGCCTCGATATTGAACTATATTAGGATGGTTGATCGAGAGAAGCAAATCCATTTCCTGTTGTAGTTTAGCGTCATTTCGCGATCCCGAGGCAGAAGCAGTTTTATTCGGATGAAAAATCTTCACAGCGACAACCTCGCCGCTTCGTTTGCACTTGGCCTCTTTAACCACAGCATAATGACCAGAACCTAGTTGTTTCCCAAGTATATAATCATCGAAAAAGGACCTCTTTCCAACTTGCAAATCAGGTTTTCCATCTTCAACGTACCGGAAAATGTAACTTCCTCCCGTTTTAGCAAAAGTTAGCTTATCGCCCGTCTTCAATATCGCATTGGTGCCCTTATCCATCTTCTCATCATTCAAATATAGTCCGTTCGAACTTAGGTCCATCACATTGAGATACTCCTTCTGACTATCCGTATGAGGCAATATGATCAAGTTCATTTCACAGTGTTTCGAAGACACGTCTAAACCTTGAATCTTGATATCGCACGAGTTGCTGCGGCCTATTACAACACGCAATTGGTGGGGAATACTCAAAGTAGGATGATCTTTCGTGCTATATAGCTTTGCCATAATAACAGATGGCATTGTTGACTGTCTCTTAATTTTGTTTTCCAAGTACTCATTCTCAACAGCTTTCTATTAACAAAGACGGTTAGTAATAAAGTAAAGGACAAAAAAACAAAAAAAGAAAAGAAATAAAAACTAGGCTCAAAGAACCTACAGAGTAAGTCTTAAAAGAGCTCAATGGAACATGCCCTCTTCCTTATCAATGACATCGGTCTAACCTACCGAGTTTGGTCTGGGTAGAATTGATCAAATTGATAAACAAAGAGATAAAAAAAAAAAAAAATAAATAAAAAAAAAAAAAAAAAAATTAAAGAAAAACGGATCACGTGATCAACACTTGGGGCCAACCTTCTCTTCTCTTCTCTTCTCTTCCCCTTCCCCCTCCTAGGTTAGCTTTACTAGTCTACTTAGCAAATCTCTGATTTCAGAGGTTTTTAAATGTTGTAGTTTATGGCCGTATTCGAGCCTCAACTCATCAATGATCTTGTCTGATTGTTTTTTGAGGAGTATTGCCTTTTCAATATCCATAGAGTCTAGTAGGTCAATTGCTTGTACAATCTTGACATAGCTCTCGTTTTCGTCGCTAGATAGTTGTTGAGTAGAAGCGGTGATTGTGGTGGCATCATGTGGTATAGATGATGAAGTGCTTCTACTTCTTGAGTTTAGCAAAAGCGGCAGTTGCAATGACTTGATTAAATAGCTAAAATCGACAATCAACTGATTTACACCTTTTCTTGAAAATCGGTTATTTGTCACAATATACTCATAAAGTAGATCACAAATAGTTGTTACCACATTATTCGATATTGCAAAGTAATCCAATTGTGATACTGATTTAGAAATAATTTCGAGATCTATAGGTAAGGCATCTATCAAGGGGTTCAAATCACTTGACGGCACGGTATTGTCATTATCGCCATCGCCATCGCCATCGCCATCGCCAGCACCATCACCATCATTGGAACCCGCCAACTCCCATTGGCTCGTATTGACGTATTTTTTCAAAAGTCTTTTGATTTCAAGTTTGAAGAAATCCAAGTAGTGGTCCATGATCTTGCTCAACAAGTTCTCATATTGTTCTAAAGGATTGCCAAATATCCCATAGGTGTTATTATTGTCGTCGCTCGAAATGTTGACAGAATTAAGCTTAATATACATTTCCCACAACTGGATAAATATGAGGTCTTCGCTCCATTTTTCCATAGATTTGATTAAAAATTTGGTGGAACAGAATATTTCAGTTAATTTCTGTAAACTTGCAAGCATTTTCTCGTCTTGTTTGAGGTAATCTTTTGCATCAACAACTTCGTTCATGGCACCGGGGATCATGTTAAAGGCACTTTTGTTAAAACTGAATCTGTCGAGAAAAATCTTGTATTGGGCTTTGATTGCTTCCAAATACGATTCAAGTATGTTCAATTGAATTTTCGATACATACTTTAATTGAAATTTGACAATTGTTAACGTTTGAAAGTGCGTGTTGAGGTTATTAATTAGTTTGAAAACACCATACGCGGAATATGTGGGCCTCAAAATTTGATGAGTGCTTATAAGGGAGTCCTTTTCGTTACCTGCTAAATAATCATAGTCAATTCTAAAAGCATCCTCAGCACCCAAAATGTCGTTCTCAAATCTTTTTGTTGCTAATGTGTTTTCAAAATTGAGCCAATTACTAACGGTATGACTCAGGTTGTCCAACAATATGTCTCCGGTGAGTCCTGTCCATTTTTGCGCAACAGGTGTGCTATAGTTTGTTGTTTTTGTGGTGGTGGTAATATAGGGGTTGTAACTGTATTTATTTCTCAATCTTTGGTCATATAAAGAAGTCTCGAATATCAAATGCGATAAAAGCCGTCCATATTTTTCCTTCAATTGTGCATCTTGTACATTATGGATGTTTTCATCAATTATATGGACCATCTTGTTGATTTTGAGTCTTAAAAGCTGTAATACACAAGTGATTACTTCATATGTACCAATTCGACCGAGGGGTTTGAACACGTCATCTACTACTATACTCAATAAAGGTAAATTGTCATCAAGAAAATTTTCAACATAGTTTAATGCCCATTCAGGTTTTGATAGCTTATTGGTATCTTTATTAGGCGAGTTGAAATGGTAATTGAATCTGACTGCAAATGGTTGTAACAAAAGGTCCAAGGCCCACCAACTTTCTGGATAGGTAGGTATGTCTTTTATAGTTTGTAGTTCAACTAAACGTTCAAATGTTTTGGTCAAAACGGTCAAAGCTTGGCTAGCTATATTGCTGTTGCTCAACCATTTGCTGTTTCTTATTACCTCCTTTAGTTCTGATTCCAAATTTGTCCTAAACGTGGCAATGATAGTCGTCAATTTTTCAACCAAGTCTGGTTGACCAAGTTGCTCAATCTCAATTGACACCTCACCGAGTTGTTCAAATTGTAAACCCAGATTCAATTTCTCCTCGGCATTTCTGCATTTTTCCAAAAACACTATTGACTCGTTGATTTCCAATTTTGTTTGTAATTGACCTTGCAAATCAATAAACAAAGGTACAGGACCAAACTCTTGAATCAAAGCTTCAATTTTATTACAACTATCTTTTATATCGGTTAGATCCATTATTTCCGATAAAACAGCTCCTATATGTACAACAGCATCTTGCAACTTTTCGGAATCTATGGTTAGTTCCTTTGCGGTATTGTCTTCAGTATTTGATAGCCTGGCTGCCGTAATACGTTTCATTTCATTTTGGGCTATAGTTAGTTCCTCGATTTTGGCTTCAATCGTAGCCAAATCTTCCAAACTAGTGAAATTCAGGTTAATGTATTTCTCAACCTCCATATCCTATTCTTTCTTTCTGCTTCAACTGGTATACCTCGACCAAACTAGTCTCCCTGAGCCAAACTAGCCTTTCTGGACCAAACTAACCTTCCTGAGCTAAACTAGTCTTCCTGAGCTAAACTGGTCTTCCTGAGCTAAATAACCTTCCTGAGCTAAACTTACCTTCCTGGACCAAACTAGCCTTCCTAAGCCAAACTTGCCTTCTTCCTGAGCTAAACTAGTCTTCCTGGACCAAACTCGTCTTATAACTGTGCCAATTTATCACCTTCGTTTAAAGCTAAACTCACCTTCTTTCCAAGTCAAACTCACCTTCTTTTAGCGCCTCTTTTTTGGTCAATTGGTCGCCTTCTTTCTAAAACAAACTAGCCTTATTGCCGGTTTTCTTCTCAGACGAGTCTCACCTTCTTTTTGAGTCAAACTTGCCTTCAAACTTGCCTCAAACTTGCCTTCAAACTTGCCTTATTCCTAGCCAGAAATGTTCAAGGAATTGGAACGAAAAAAAAATCAAGGTGAAAAAAAAAAAAAAATTTCAAAGAAGAAGAGGAAGCTATTACTTTTCCATTACCATCATTGACACCACTTTCGTCACATCAGGCCTTTGTTTTCTTTCTGGATTGACTTTTGACATTGAGATAAGGAACCTCTTTTTCATTTTACTTTCTTTGAAACTTGTTTATCTGGCTTTATCTGGCTTTATCTGGCTTTATCTGGCTCTTTTTTGGTTTTTTTTGGTAGAAAATGCAGGCTCCAGTTGTTTATTTAAATACGTCTACACAGAGACAAACAGGACGACAAGCACAAGTTGCCAATATTACAGCTGCAAAAGCCGTTGCTGACATTGTGAGAACATGTTTGGGCCCCAAGGCGATGCTTAAGATGTTATTGGATCCAATGGGCGGAATTGTTTTAACAAATGACGGGCATGCTATATTGAGGGAAATCGATGTTTCACACCCAGCAGCAAAATCGATGATTGAGCTATCAAGAACTCAGGATGAAGAAGTAGGAGACGGTACAACAACGGTGATTATTTTAGCAGGAGAGATCTTGGCACAAACTTTCCCCTATATCGAAAAAAATATCCATCCAGTGATAATCATTAGAGCTCTTAAGCAAGCTTTGAAAGACGCTTTGGAAGTCATACACCAAGTTTCGAGAAGCGTTGATGTGAATGACGACAAAGCAATGATTAAGTTGATACAGGCTTCAATAGGCACCAAGTATATCAACAAGTGGTCTGAAAAGATGTGCCAGTTAAGTTTGAAGGCCGTAAGAATAGTTGCGATTAAGGATGGCGATTATAAGGAGATTGATGTCAAGAGATATGTTAGAATTGAGAAAATACCCGGCGGAGAATTGACCGAGTCAGAGGTATTGGATGGCATATTATTGAACAAGGACGTTGTGCATCCCAAGATGAAGAGATTTATCGAGAATCCAAGAATTATCTTGTTGGATTGCCCGTTAGAGTATAAGAAGGGGGAGTCGCAAACAAATATTGAGATCACTAAAGAAAGCGACTGGAATAGGATATTACAGATTGAAGAGGAGCAAGTGAAGGCCTTGTGCGACCAGATTTTAGAGTTTAAACCAGATTTGGTCATCACAGAGAAGGGGATCAGTGACTTGGCTCAACACTATCTTTTGAAAGGTGGAGTTTCCGCTTTGAGGAGGGTCAAAAAATCAGATAACAATAGAATTGCTAGAGCAACTGGAGCAACCATTGTTAATAGAGTTGAAGATTTGAAAGAATCTGATATTGGTTTGAAATGTGGTGAATTTAAAGTTGAGTTGATTGGAGATGAATATTTTTCCTACCTTTATAAATGTAAAGAGCCACAAGCATGTACAATCATTTTGAGAGGAGCATCAAAGGATATATTGAATGAGATTGAAAGAAACTTACACGACGCGATGGCTGTGACCAGAAATGTCATGTTTGAACCTTCCTTGAGTCCAGGTGGTGGTGCAACAGAAATGGCATGTAGTGTTAGATTATCAGAAAAGGCCAAAACAATCAAGGGCATTGAGCAATACCCATATCAAGCGGTTGCAGATGCATTTGAGGTGATTCCAAGAACCTTGATTCAAAACTGTGGAGGAAACCCAATTAAAGTATTATCTCAATTAAGAGCTAAACAAGCACAGGGACACTGCACATTTGGAATAGATGGAGATGATGGTAAGGTTGTGGATATGGAGGAGTATGGTATTTGGGAACCGGAGGTTATCAAACAGCAGTCTATCAAAACAGCTATAGAAAGTGCATGCTTATTGTTAAGGGTAGATGATATAGTCAGCGGAATTCGTCAAACACAGTAAGAAATAGCTTAAAGTATCTAAGTAGATTCAAGATTTTTAATCTATTTTCCTTTGTCTAGCAGCTATGAATTTTTCGGTTATCCGTCTAATCACAAAAGTGAACAATGCTGATGCTATAGCAATGGGTGGAAACAAATCTAGCAAAGTCCAAATCTTTCTTGGCTTGATTTGAGGAACAACGAGTTGAAGTTCTTTGTGCAAATCTTGTAAGCTTTTTGAATTATCAATCACAATATCACTTTTATAATTTCGCTCTTCATTTGACATTTGACTCTTGATTCTATTTTCGGCATCCTCGCGATTCAACTCCGGGTTCCTTTCTAAGAGCCTCTTGACTTGTGATTCAGCAGTAGTAGATACCGTAATGACTAGCCCACATACAAGATGAAGTTGAGACTCGAAAAGCAAGGGAACATCTAATATAACCACACTGCAAAGACTCAAATAGGCCTTCAAAATTTGCTTTGCAATTTCCCATTTCACAGCAGGATGAACAATTGAGTTCAAAATATTCAACTTGAGCTTATCACTAAACACAGCTTGTCCTAAAACCGCTCGGTTTAAGCTCATATCCTCCTCGTTTATCAAATGAGGAACATTTTTAAATGCATCGACTATTTTCTGATAAGCTGGTCTTCCTGGTAACACAACTTCCCTAGCTACTTGATCAGCATCAATAACAAACAAATTATACTTGTTCTTCAACTCTTTTGATACGGTGGATTTCCCACACGCTATCCCACCTGTAAGTCCAACGATAAGCATTAATCTTAGTTAATCTTACCTGGTACCAAGAACCGCGCGGTAGACTTGTCGACGTAACCTCTCGCTTCAATTCTTTTTTTCTTTCCCGCCAATATGACGAGACTTGTCGACACCATCGAGCAGAGAGACACTATCGAGCAGAGAGACACTATCGAGCAGAGAGACACTATTGAGCAGAGCGAGATAGTGAGTAGTCACCTAACTCTATGGGCTAACCTACCATTTATAGGCTAACATAGTTTATACTACTCTACTCTACTCTACTCTACTCTACTCACTAATCTACTCACTACTCTACTCACTACTCACTACTATCTCATTACTCTACACTTCTCTACACTACTCTGCTCTACACTACTCTGCTCTACACTACTCTGCTCTACACTACACTGCTCTACACTACACTGCTCTACACTACACTGCTCTACACTACACTGCTCTGCTCGATAGTGTTGCTCGATAGTGGAGCATTGACATCAACCGATACTGCCACATAAGTCTTGGAATTGCGAATTTGCAGTCACTGTAAAGTAGCTGAATGGAATTAGTAATAATGTTGGAACTAGTGTTAATAGGGTATTTTGCGGCATGGATAGCCAATAATAGCTTTACAGGATAGATAGCAACAATAGCTTTACAGTATAGATAGCCCTACAGTATAGATAGCTTTACAGTTGTGTTCAACAGCTCTACAGCTTATATTGCCCTACAGTATAAATAGCCCTACAATTGTATTTATTAGCTCTACAGACATTTCTACATTCGTCTCAGACATTTTTTCAGTTACTTCAGACATTTTCTCAGCTATTTTGAATATTCTGACATTGTTTCAGATATCCTGACAGTGTTTCAGATTTTGAGACAGCGTTTCAGATTTTGCGACAGCGTTTCAGATTTTGCGACAGCGTTTCAGATTTTGCGACAGCGTTTCAGATTTTGCGACAGCGTTTCAGATTTTGCGACAGCGTTTCAGATTTTGCGACAGCGTTTCAGATTTTGCGACAATGTTTCAGATTTTTTCGACAATGTTTCAGATTTTTTGACAGCGTTTCAGATTGTGTTTCAGATATTTTGACAGTGTTTCAGATTTTTCGACAGTTGTTTTCGACATTTCTATAATTATTTCAGACATTTCTCAGCTGTACCAGACATTTCTCAGTCGTTTTACCTACCTCTATGGGCTAACATAGTTTATACTACAATATTCAATAGAGAAATGCGAGATAGTCTCTACTCTACTCTATACACTATCTACTCTACCCTCTACTCAACTCTCTACTTTACAGTACACTACTCTACATTATCTCGCACTGCTCGATAGTATCGCTCGATAGTGTCAGTCGATAGTGACGCTCGATAGTGGAGCATTGACATCAACCGATACTGCGACAAAAGTCTTGAAATTACGAATTAATGTTTTGCAGTTGCTGTAAAGTAGCTGAATGGAATTAGTAATAGTGTTGGAACTCGTATTAATAAAGTGTTTAGCTCTACAGCGTATAAAGCTTCACAGTATAGATAACTCTACAGCGTATAAAGCTCCACAATATAGATAACTCTACAGCGTATAAAACTTTACAGTGCAATAGCCCTACGCTTGTATTAAATAGCTCTATAGTCGCAGTAGACATATCTACATTTATTCAGATAATTTTTTAGTTACTTCAGACATTTTTTCAGTTATTTCAGATATCCTGACAGTATTTCAGATTTTCGACAGCGTTTCAGATTTTCTCGACAATGTTTCAGATTTTTTGACAATGTTTCAGATTTTTCGACAGCGTTTCAGAATCTGTTTCAGATTTTTCGACAGTGTTTCAGATTTTTCGACAGTTGTTTTAGACATTTCTTTAATCATTTCAGACATTTCTCAGTTGTTCCGCACAATTCGAAGTTGTCCCAGACACTTTTCAGTCGTCTCACCTACCTCTGTGGGCTAGCATAGTTTATACTATTCTATTGAATAGAGAAAAGGGAGATAGTCTCTACTCTCTACTCTCCACTCTACTCACTACTCACTACTATCTCATTACACTACACTACACTACACTACACTACACTACACTACACTACACTACACTACACTACTCTCCTCTACACTACTCTCCTCTACACTATCTCGCTCTGCTCGATAGTGTTGCGACAAAAGTCTTGGAATTACGAATTATTGTTTTGCAGTTACTGTAAAGCAGCTGAATGGAATTGGTAATAGTGTTGGAGCTGGTATTAGTAGAGTGTTTATCTTTACAGCTTATATAGCTCTACAGTATAGATAGCCCTACAATTGTATTCAACATCTTTACAGTCGCAGTAGACATTTCTACATTTGTTCCAGACATTTTTTCAGTTACTTTAGACATTTTTGCAGTTATTTCTGATGTCCTGACAGTATTTCAAATATTCCGACAGTATTTCATATATACTGACAGCGTTTCAGATTTTTCGACAGTGTTTCAGGTTTTTCGACAGTGTTTCAGGTTTTTCGACAGTTCTCCCAGACATTTCTACAATTATTTCAGACATTTCTCAATTGTTTTAGACAATTCTCAGTTGTTCCAGATACTCTGACAGTGATTCAGACATTTCTACAATTGTATTCAAAAAGTGTCGTAAAAACTACCAAGTGTCATAACAAACTACCAAGTGCTGCTCCAGTACCTCGCTTTGGTCAATAGAGGAGGGCCTCTAACATTGACCTCTGTAACCCATCAGTGCTTCTCCACTAGCTTGCTTTGCTCGATGGTGTTGCTATTAAATGCTGCTCCACTAGCTTGCTTTGCTCAATGGTGGAGGGCCTTTGACATTGACCTCTGCAACCCATCAGTGCTGTTCCACTAGCTTGCTTTGCTCGATAGTGTTGCTATTAAGTGCCGTTCCACTAGCTCTCTTTGCTCAATGGTGAAGGGCCTCTAACATTGACCTCTGTAACCCATCAGTGCTTCTCCACTAGCTTGCTTTTCTCGATGGTGTTGCTATTAAGTGCTGTTCCACTAGCTCTCTTTGCTCTACAGTGTCTCCCATGGATCTTTTTTTTTTTCACCTCATCTCATCTCATCTCATCTCATCTCATCCCATTATTCTTTTTTTATTATTCAAAGATTTTAGGTGGATATTTTTGATGTCAAGAGTTAAGGATCCGTTAAAGGTGTTTATTTTGGGGGCTGGGTCTATTGGGTCATTGCTAGCTCATGATTTGAAGCAACAATTTGCAGGTAGTGGTGTTGTCAAGCCAATCTTTTTATTACGCTCATACGAGAATAGTAAAGAGAATAAGATTGTTAAGTTGAGACGACTTTATGACACAGCTGAGTTGACGAAGCTGGAGGTGGAGATTTCAGGAAGAACTGAAGCTGTGCTCGGCAACGAGACTATTGACAACTTGATCATAACCACGAAATCTTTCCAAACGGAAGTGGCTCTTCAGCCGTATATCAACCGACTAAGTTTAACTGCTAATATTCTAATACTACAGAATGGAATGGGCATGGCAGATCTGCTAATTGGCAAATTCTGGCAGAGTTCAACTCTTAAGCCTAATATCTTTGAGGCTATCACTACACATGGAGTATTCAAGGACCAACGAGGCATTGTCAATCATATATCAAGAGGCGTCATAAAAATTGGTCAACAACAACAACAACAACAACAACAACAAGAGCAGGCTGATGACTTGCCATTGCTTATCCGAGCTATACTTGAAACACCGAATTTGAATGCCGAGTACGTCCCCTATGAAGAATTCATCTTGTTGCAAATGGAGAAGTTGATAGTCAACTGTTGCATAAATCCACTTACTGCTCTATATAATGTCACAAACGGACATTTACTATTTGGAAAAGAAATCGTCCACATTTGGAGGTCAATAATTTGCGAATGTGTTGATATGTTTTGGTTAGAGTATCCTATACTAGAGAAGATACCTACAGCCAGGTCCTTTTTGAACCAAAATAGATTGTTAGACTCGGTCATTTCTGTTTGTCGACTTACAGGGTCAAATAGCTCCTCAATGAGACAAGACGTGAGGAGTTTAAGGAATACTGAAATTGGAAACATTAATGGGCATATTGCCTACTTGGGAAGAAAGCATGGGAAAGCAACATTTTCAAATTCTATGTTGACGAGCTTGGTTAAAAGCAAGTTGAGTATTGATCGTGGTATTGAGAAAGCTGCCGCAGAGTCAATCATTGATCGAGCGTCATAAATTCATTTTCACTTCATTTTCACTTGACTCGACTTGACTTCATTTTCACTTGCCTTGACTTGACTTGACTTGACTTCATTTTCACTTGCCTTAACTTCACTTCATTTATTCCTTTTGTTTTTTTTATTTTTATTTGCTATTCCAATTCATCAAGTAGAGGTCTTGCCAATTTCAACTGATCTTTATATAGAGATCCAATAGCTCGCATTCTCAGCTGTTTAACGACATCTGTATCATTCGCATATAGTAAATATTGATGATTCTCTGCCTCGTGAATGACTTTTCGTAAAATTTCCACAAGAATAAGATTTGAGTAAGTCTTAAATACTGTATTATCTATCTTCCCATTGAGGAAACTTGTTAGTCTTTGAGACTCCTGGGGATTTTGTTCTTGTAAAACAGCTAGTCCAACTTCGGTCCTGAACGACAATCCCTCATTGTTCAAAGTGAAATTACCATAATAATCATTCTCCTTCAAATATTCAATCTGTTGTTTAGCCAATAAGGGCAAAATGTATGACGATATGTCAAGATCGTTCCACTTGTTCTCTGCCACGGTAAATCCGTACTCAGTCAATAGGAAATCATTCGAATGGGGACCATAACTCAAGTATAGTTGATCTTCAGTAGTGTACGCCGTAGTTGTTGTAATTTGAAACCCCTTGCCGTCGATTTTCAAAGTACAATGGTCGTCACATGAATGATTGATAAAGTCAATATATGGTGCCATTGTGAAATTATCCAGTTTATCATGGTGATGACTAGTGGAGAGGTCCATGTATAAACAACGTGAATTGATACAAAGCCAGGATAAAAGAAGGTCATCCTTGACCAAAACAGCGGATACGTCTATTCCTTTTGATTCAAACAAGTTTACCACTTTCTCATAATCGTGTTCAAATCTCTTCTCCACATTTGCATTTAATTTTTGGGCGGTTTCTGGAAGGAGAGATTTCAATTCATTGTTGTAGACCAAAGGCATCAATTCAAAATCACGCATAGTTGGTAACATATCAATAAACGGCTTCCAGTATGAGCATGGTCTCTTTTTTTCCAAAGTCAAATACATCGACAACAATTGGAACGATGATAGTTGTAGCAAATCTTCCTTTGTGAATAACTTGTAAATATCTGTGTATTCGTCCTCGTGCACTTCAAATGGCACATATACATGTTTATCCAATTCCATCTTGTTGAACTTGGAAATGTGGTTCAACACGGTGGTAAAGTTTAATAGGAAAGCATGAGGGATGTTGATTATTAATTCCTGTTTGCTGATATCGGATGTTGCATAAATACCTCTGCCTGAACCTTTCACGTCTTTAACAGTAATCTTGGGCGAGATATAAGAATGACTAGACGGTTTCCGATCATCCTCTGTACATCTAATCCACTCAAGTAGAGTCAAGAGCTTTTGTTGGAAATCTTGCATTAAAGTAAAACTCATCTCATCTCATCTCATCTCATCTCAACTTTTTTTTAAAAAAAAATCTGTTGGAAAGGATATACCAGAAAGATGCTACAAAGTCTATGTAGGAAGTCAGTTAAACAAAGTAGAAAACACCAGGCTATCATCTGAGTCAGATGCACAGTGATCAAGTTCCTTGACACTATCGAGCAAAGCTCCACTATCAAGCAGAGCCCCACTATCTAGCACTATCGAGCAGAGCTCCACTATCAAGCAGAGCTCCACTATCGAGCAGAGCTCCACTATCTAGCACTATCGAGCAGAGCTCCACTATCTAGCACTATCGAGCAGAGCTCCACTATTTAGCACTATCTCTGCTCGATAGTGGAGCAACACTTGGTACCTTGTAACGATAATACTAAGGGTGCAATCAAATCCGTCCCCCCCGGTCCAACCAATTTGAGCGTCATTAGTCAGTGTGCTCCACTATCTCGCTCTGCTCGATAGTGGAGCTCTGCTCGATAGTGGATCATTGCTCGATAGTGGATCATTGTCAGTGACACTCCTATCTTTATATATGTTGTTAATTTTTCTCCTTCATTCCTTCTCAAAACATATTCAAGGTTAATGTGTTTGCAATGGTGTTGCTGTCAACAGCGTCTTTAAACTCTTCAAAGTTCAATTTCCCATCTCCATCCTTATCTGCCTCCATCATAGTCTTATCAACGATTTGCTGCAACTCTTCGTCTTGTAGATTCTTACCAACCATCATTTTCATCACGATGAATAGCTCGCCATTTCCAATATAGCCATCTCTATCAATATCGTATATACTAAATGCAAATTTCAATTTTTCTACATTTGAGGATTTCCCGCTGAATGCAGAGAGCCCCATTATGAACTCTTGGAAATCAATTTGCTCATCTCCATCCTTATCAAAAACGTCCATCAATCTCGCAGCTAAGGGGTTCGACGAAATCCCCGGTATAGATAAAAATTCATTCCGATCAATCTCACCAGAACCATCCTTATCTAGTTTCATAAACCTTTTCCTCAACCGGTCTATTTCCTCAGAACTAAAATTTGTATCTTCCATAAAGTCATTAAGCAAACTAGATGACGCACCCATTACCGAAACAAACAACCTAACAAGAGAGATAGAAGAGGCCAACTATAGATGAATAAAGGTTAAATTCCTTTGATAATGGGGGGGAAGGGTTTCTCCTTTCAATACGAAAATCGTTTTTTAAGTGAAAAATTGGGAAAAGGTCGTGTATATGGTGACACTGTTATAGCTGCAAAATGAAAAAAAGGGTTGCAATTGGTTCACACACGACTTTAGGAGTCTAGAGCCACTAGACGAGTGAAACGAGTCTAGTTGATAGGAAGGATGTAGACTATCGATAGACTACCGAGCAGAGCGAGATAGTCTGAGACCTGGCGAGTGAAACGAGTCTAGTTGATAGCAAGGAGGTATACTATCGATAGAGAGTAGATAGAGATAGTCTATCTATAGAGAGCTAATAGAGAGTAGACAGAGATTGTCTATTTATAGAGAGTTAATAGAGAGTAGATAGAGACTAGGCGAGTGAAACCCGTGTGTATCGACACTATCTCGCTTCGCTCGATAGTGGGGCACACTGACTAGCTTATTACAACACTATCAAGCAGAGCGAGATGAAACGAGTCTAGCCGATGGAGAAAGAGTGTAGCCGAAGGAAAAAGAGTGTAGTAGAAGGAGAAAGAGAGAGACTAGACTAAGTGAAACGAGTGGAGCATACTAGCTGCCACCGACACAATTGACACCATCTCGCTCTGCTCGATAGTGGTGTGTAGATAGAGAGAGACTAGTCGACAGAGTCTAGATAAATTAAAGAGTGTAGAGTAGATTAAAGAGTGTAAAGTATAGAAATGAGAGAGTGCAGCTAGTCGATAGTGACACTAGTCAATGGTGCATCGAGGGCAGGATAGTGTCGCTAATAAGTGCTGCTCCACTATCTCGCTCTGCTCGATAGTGTCGATAGTGGTGCTACAAAACGCTGCTACCCTATCTCGCTCTGCTCGATAGTGTCGATAGTGTCGATAGAGTCGGTGACAACTAGTGTGCTCCACTATCTCGCTCCGCTCGATAGTGTCGTTGATAGAGTGTAGAAAAAGAGAGTAGATATAAAGAGAAGATAGACAGAGAGAGTAGATAGAAAAGAGTAAATAGAGAGAAAGTAGAAAGAAACTAGTTGAAAGAGAAAGAGACTAGTCGATAGTGTGTGTATAGAGAGAGTGTAGTATATAGAGAGTAAACCAGTATTGTTTTCTCGCCTTGCTCGATAGTATGTAGAGAAAAGAGAGAGTAGAGATATACTATCAAGCAAAGCGAGATAGTCGATAGAAAGAGTATAGAGAAAGACGACACTAGGGACCGAAGCGAGCTAGTGGAGTAGCACTTAGTAGATACTAGGGAGAGAAGCGAGCTAGTGGAGTAGCACTTAGTAGACACTAGGGACAGAAGCGAGCTAGTGGAGTAGCACTTAGTAGACACTAGGGACAGAAGCGAGCTAGTGGAGTAGCACTTAGTAGATACTAGGGAGAGAAAGAGGCACTAGACTCGTTTCACTCGTCTAGTCCATAGAGTGTAGGTGTTTATTTGATAGCAGAGCAACAGTTAGTGTTGCTCGATAGTTGGTCTATAGTTGGTCAGTGTTGCTCCACTAGGTCGCTTCGTTCCCTAGTGTCGACTAGTGTCGATTTACAAAATATTACATTCATTCATTCAAGCTCTAGCTACTTATTTAGAAGTGTCAAGAACATATCTTCCCAAGATCTTACCTTCTTCCATTAATTTGAAAACTTCAGGTAATTCACTAAGACCAACAATCTTAATAGGACACTTGATCAAACCTCTAGCGAAAAAGTCCAAAGCTTCAGCGGTATCTTTTCTGTTACCAACATATGAACCTCTGATTTGAACTGATTTGACAACCGACTCAAAAACTGGGGCGGTGACTTTGGAGCCGGCTGGTAAACCAACCAAAACAACAACACCTAATGGTCTAACGTATTCAACAGATTGGTCAATAGCCTTTTCTGAAACAGAAACATTGATAACACCATGTGGACCACCATTGGTTGCCTTTTTAACAGCTGAAACAATATCCTTTTCCTGGGTAAAGTCAATGTATACTTCAGCACCCAATTTCTTAACAAACTCACCCTTGTCTGCACCACCATCAATTCCAACAACTCTGTAACCCATGGCATTGGCATATTGAATGGCTAAAGAACCTAAACCACCAGCAGCACCGGAAATACATACCCATTCACCGGCTTTAAGGTCAGCGGTTTTCAAAGCCTTGTAAACGGTAACACCGGCACATAATATAGGAGCAGCTTCAGACAAGTTGGCCTCCTTTGGAATTTTAGCGGCTTGAACTGCATCAGCGGTAGCATATTGTTGGAAAGAACCATCGTGAGTGTAACCAGATAAGTCAGCTTCAGGACAGTTTGGTTCAGCACCTTGTTCACAGTATTCACAGTTCATACATGAACCATTCAACCACTTGATACCAGCATAGTCACCAATTTTCCATCCCTTGACATTGTCACCCATAGCAACAACAACACCAGCACCTTCGTGACCACCTACAAGTGGCAATTTGGTGTCCAATGGCCAGTCACCTTTCCAAGCATGTAAATCAGTATGGCACACACCCGAGTATTTAACATGAATCAATAATTCAGTTGATTTAGGGGTTGGTACTGGGATATCCTTAAATTCTAATGGACCACCATTCTTTTCAAAGACAACAGCTTTTTGGGTTTTTGGGATAGAAGAAGACATTACTAAGTTTCTATTAATGTTAATTACTTGTAAACGATAAAGACTACATGAAAAATTCAAGTGTTTTCGAAGAAGTTTTATACTCTTTATATAAGATCCCAAATTAAAATACATTTTTTTGTATCTATAAATTTTTCAAAAAATGCCATAAATAATACCTCTAAAGAAGAAATAAAAGAAATGCCACCTAGATTTGATAATGTATGATCTATTTGTGGGGGCGGCGGGTAGGGCCGAGTGTGATCCATTTACCTTGTTTTTTTCTTTCTTTTAAACGAAACAGTTAAGAAAAGTTGGGAGAATATGTAGTAGTATAAAGGGGTGAGGAGGAGGAAGGAAGAATGACTCCGCTAGTTTTGATAGTTTTATGGAATTTGAGGATATTGTTTGCTCTGTA